GGGGGTACATGCGCTTCATAAATAGTTAGCAAAAAATAGGTATGCCACCTTGTGAAGCAATATAATAAGCCCAAGTCGATCTATTTTTTAATAGAATCACTAGAGTGCTATTGGAAGGATCCCAGGCCTATTGTAAGGTCAGCATTTACTATAATAAAACGTGGAATTAAAGTATTCCGTTTCAACAACATAGGAAAATTCAGGATGCCGTATCCACTAGGGGTATATAGAGTGTCATAATTATGAACATGCCTACTAATTACGTAAGTATTGTATTACCCTTCTCTTATCCAAATAAAATATTGAATTGGTATGCTGTATGCTACATAGGAATCATAACAGGGTACCTCTAAAGGCAGAGTGTGCTTCTGAAGGAACGGACAATACGCCCACATGTATTTACAGATCTATGGAAGGAATGTATATAATTCAGACAATTCATAGCCCAGTACCTTACTTGAAAACGGCACCAACTCATCTACCCAAGATGTTCTCCGCTATAAGTTCGGCAAACGCGTCTATAGTATCCAGTCAGCCAGAGTTTGTCCACCGGGTTGAGAGCAGCTTACAGATGGAGCTCATGGGATGCCCGGCAGGAAGATACGGGAAAGCACTGGCATCCACGACTCGGAGGTTCGAGACACCGTATACCTTAGCGCGGGTATCAACCACGGCATCTGGATTTGAGGAGTTGCCCATTGCACCTGGGAAGATTGTATTAGCTCACAGCACTTTCTAGATGGTTGTCTGGGGGGGTGGTGTCCTGGGCCGGGGGGGAGGAGAAAGGAGAGCCATACAGGTTGAGCTGGCGTGATACCCATTCACGGCATGGTTTCTCACCCACTCTAGGATCTCAGCATCGGTCACAACATCATGACCCGGTTGAACCTCCTTCACGCGAACCCCACTTTCCTCAGCAAACTGTCTCAATCTCTTTATCGCACCTACAGCGAGCTCGGCATCAGCGGGGTGACTTAACGCATTGACGTTGATGATGGGAGCGTCATGGGGGTCGGCGCTGCGCAGCTTCACGTAGCCCCGGGAGTTGGTGCTCTGGATGGCGGTTGTGACGGAGGCATAGTTATTTGCGAGTGGTTTATCGGCCGGGTTAGATCCGGGGGATAAGGTGAGATATTCGACTTCGGGGAAGTCATCTGGGAAGCTGGCAAGGGTTGCAAGGGTGGCGTTGGTAAAAGTGTCCCGGTTGGGGAGTTTTTCCCAGCCTGTAGATGACCGGCGCATGATGAGCATGGGTAGTGTTTCTTTGAACGACGTTAGATGAGAGGGAGGCAGTGAACTCACCGACAACACCCCCGCCGATACCCGTAAGAGGACCAGTTTGGTGGTTGAGATAAGATTCGACGGCTGCAGCATGCAGATCGGGGTTGGTGAGAACGCCGGAATTGGTGGTGACATTCAACTCATGACTGGTAAAGACGAAGAGGTGATCCTAGGGATGATTTTAGTCTAGAGAATCAGATGCACTGGAAGAAAAACAACTTACCCACAGATTCTGTCCAACGCCCCGGAGGTCGGAAACTGTGGGGATCCCGAGCCGCTGGAGGTCCTCGGCGGGTCCGATACCCGACAGCAGGAGAAGGTGGGGTGAATGAAACTATTTGGCATTTGTTTAGTAGAGTCATCCTGTTAACGATTTCCATCTCTGTACATACCACCCCAGCAGACAAAATAACCTCCTTCTTCGCCGAGATAGTGTACTCGGCGCCGTTGGTCTCCACGAGTACTCCAGTCGCAGTCTTGTTCGAATCAAAGAGAATCTTCTTCGCTAATGTACGCAGATAAAGTCTCAACGGGGTGGTGTCCAAAGCCTGCTGCAGGAATGACGCCTCAGAGGAGCTTCTTGTCTGATCTGCAGGGTCGATCACAAAAGTTGTCGGTGCGAAGCCATCCAGATGTCCGCTGTTAAGGCCATTGATAGGTTTGAGACCTGACTTGGAGAATGCGGTTTCCATGAATTGATCGCTTAGGGCTCTGTAATTGGGGAAGGATATTTGGAGAGGGCCCCCCTCCGGGCTGTAGGCGGAGGGGTCATACGGGTAGGTGGAGTCATCCTTGGGCTTAGTGAACTCGACACTCTTCTTCAAGTACGGGAGTAGATTATCCCACGTGTAGCTGTCGTCATCGACGAGGTCGGCCCACATCTGATAGGAGCCCTTGGTAGCCCTAGCGGTATCCGTGAGCAAGACGATCGATCCACTGCTTCTCCTGTAATAGAACCATTCATACCTGTGGAAGATCATATCATTGAGGGCAGAGCTTTGAGATCAATCGGTCAGTCCGTAGTCTACGAATCATTCCGGTGTAGGGACCAACCTTCCTCCGAGAGTTTTGCCAGCGGTGTAGTGGATCCTACGGTTGTTGAGGCCCTAGAAATTATTCAGCAAAACAGGCACGTCCATACTGTAGCCGGTTCAAACACAAAGATTTATGCTTACCACCTGCGGTTCCGTAATCAAACCCCAATCCACCAACACAGGGCTTGGTGTCAGGTCATTGAACGATAAGTAAGTGGCTCCATACCCAGGTACCTGGCTGGTATTCCCATTGTCGATTTCATAGAAGCTTCCGGCTTCAATCACTGCAACGGTGACATCAGGCTGAGCGGCCAGACGTGCAGCAACGGTCAGGCCTGCAGTACCTCCTCCAACAATGACATAGTCGTATGAAGCATTCTTTGCTAAAATGCCGAAAGAATTCCCAAACAGTTTTGTCTGTCCTTTCGTGTTGGTGGCACCGAATACCGCAAAGGCACCGGTGAATACACCGGAGAGAGCAACGTATGTGAGCGGGACGCGCATTGTGCTCGTTTTAGAACTAATTCAAATCCAATATCCAGGTCTGGCCTTTCCTTTGGAGATTCACTCCTGGACCATCTTCGAGGGGATACGACCGGCCTTTTATGCCTGGCGATAAGCAACGCGGTTTGGCTTGTAGCATTTTCTTTTTATTTTTATTTTTTTTATTTTCTTTTGACCTTTTTTTGCTTTTTTTTTTTTTTTTTTTTTTTTTTTTTTTTTTTTTTTTTTTCTTTTTTTTTTTTTTTTTTTTTTTTTTTTTGACTTTTTCGCCTTTCTGTTTGAACCAAGACGATGATGACGCTACTGGATCTTGCGCTTCTGCTTCGTTCTTCGGACAAGCAAAGGACGCCAACCACCTGGCTAGGACGAAATCGGGTATGAATCTCCTCGTCATCCTCCCAAGAGAAAGTCATTTGGTACCAATTGATCTCCGGTATTCCTTTGCGATATAGGCGTTATACCAGCTGCGCATGTCTCCACAAATACGAAATATAGTATAGCGCCCAGAAGGGCTCGTATTGTGAGGTGAGGGTTGGATAGGGCTCTGGGACCGAAGGATTGAAGGAAGGACATTGCTGGAGAGAGGGCGTTTTAGGTCAGACTATAGCGTTCGTATTGGGGTGGCACTTGATTTCGGAGCGGGAGAGAAATTTCCACAAGGAGTATCAGAGTTATGGAGTTTCCTTTCTTAGTCAGGGAATCTACTTTGCCTCCATGAAGCTTACTTCCGTGGGGTCCACCAGGTCCAGATCATCGGCCAATATCAGCGACGAATACTAACAGACGAGACGTTGAATTCCAGGGTGGACGCGACTGGTCAGACTGGGTACTTGGACCGCACCGCCCCTGGAGTCTCGGGCAAACCCATTTAGCAGGTAGTAACGGTATGTGAGAGCTCTTCGATTTGAATTGAACTACCCAAGTGGCATGCTTTGCAATAAACACAGTATGTAACACGCTTGTGAACTATTACCCACGTTGTCGCGCCCGTCTTATCTCTATCAGCCCCCTCAGTGTACGAACAATTCCAATTAACCAGTACATTTATGCATTCGCTAATCTCATCTCCGTAATGCAACCCCGTAAAGTTCAAACTACATCCATTGCAACCGTGGTCTCTTATTTGGCACCAGCGTATCTACTATGTTGGCGGATCTTCGCGCCCCATTTGTAGAAGATATACCTAAGCAGGTTAGCAACAGCGTACAATGAGATGAATAAGGCAGAACCTACGGAAACGGTGACAATACAAGGGTGATCATGGCGAGCAGGAACCCTGCCCACTGGTATCCGAGGTTACGGAACACTAGATGTCTAGGTTAGTTTCAACCCATAACCGTAAAATAGGATGAGGACGATGCCAAAACAAAAAAAGAAAAAAAGAAAAGAAAAGAAATCGAACTCACTGGCTTGACCAAAGAGGGGAAACGCTGCAGCGAACATACTCCTGGAGAAGCTGTTCGCTGCCAGCGCACTAGCGGCGTAGAGCGGGTAGGCGTCGACGAGGAAGGTAAAGACGCCGGAGAAGATCATAATCACACTACAGGATGACCAATTAATCCAAGTAGCCACAAGATGAGGGAAGGAACCCCAGCTCACCCAGCACCGAAAATACCACTTCCAATAATGGGGACGATCCAATGGACAGACGGATACCTACACTCGTCAGCGACCCAGGCATTCAAAGCACCGAGAAGGTAGAGTTTCTTACGTCGTCCACGCAAACCAGAGGAGGCCGATCGTGACGAGAGGCGCGCCTCCCACAGCAGGGGGGAGCCGGAACTCCGGCTCTGATGAGCCTGCAGTGCCGGTCTTGGCTTGGTGCTCTTGAAGCAATCTCATGAAGTTTCTATGCCAACTACGCCATGTGTCAGGTTTTGTATAATCGACCAGGAAGAGCGGCGCTTACAGAGGGTTTGTGCCGATGCCGATGATCATGCCAACAGTGATCCCCAGGAAGCTCAAGCCAACCTGCCACAAGTTGAAGCCGTAATTGTTCTTGAATATGAGCCCGAAAGCACCGAAGAAGAGGTAGAGCACCCCCAGCAAGACAGAACAGAACAGGCACAGGCACAGACACATGGGTTCTAGAGTGAGAAGCAAAAAGGGCCTATAGCAGGAGCGTATTATAGTCTGTTGCAAAGTCAGATTGGGAACCACCCCGTGGAGCCAAAGCGATGACTTGCCTGAGAAATTGACTTATCCATCTTCTCAATTGGCGCGTAATATCTCTCGTCTCCCGTCTCCGTTCGGAGCCGTTGCGCTTCTCGCCTGAGAAGAACTGGGTGGTAGGTTTCGGGAACCAGAAGGCAGATCGAGACCCATTGAGCGAAGGCCCAGATCAGAAGAATGTAGAAGGACCACCGCCTACATCGTCGATCAGATCAGTTTGGGCCACGAGGCATCATTGGGGGGAATGCTGCCTACTCACCAGTCCAAGTAGGAGTTAATGAAATTTCCAATCACAGGACCTAGTTCAGGACCGAGGCTGTAACCACCATGTAAGTCTCGTTATAGATCAATCCCCCCCCCCCCCCAACGAGGGCGCGCACTTACAAAGGACTCGCTGTATAGACCATCATGGGAGCTTGCAGCTTCTGCTTCGGAAACAGATCTCCTACGGTACCCCCAGCAACACTCAAAAAAGCGGCACCGGCAAACCCATTAAAAAAGCGTGCCACAATCAGGGTTTCTATGTTGCGGGCCACAGCACAGGGAATAATCCAGATCACAAAGAAGAACATCGAGACGACATAGACTGGCTTTCGCCCGTAGAACTGGATCATGTGAGCCCTGCTCATCACCACCCAAATCATCCATAGGCATGTCAACTTACCTCACTCAGCGGGGCGAGAATCATCGGGCTCAATCCCAGTCCCACCACAAATATACTCAAACCCAGAGTCGTAACGATCTCGCTGGCATGAAGGTCCTTCTCGATCTGTCCATATGTTCCGGTGTACAACGAACTCGTACAGGCGACACACAAGCTCGTCGACGAAATAATGGCGACAATCAGCCATTTCCGCGCGGTGGAGAAGTGCTTGGGGCTTCGCGGGTCATCTTCCCCGCTGAAGGACACGAGAAAATCGACCTCCGTCTTGGGCACAATAGATCCAACGGTCGCGTCGGAGTCTTTCTCCAGATCTAGGTCCGACGACAGCCTATGCTCCTGCTCGCTGCCAGAGTTGGACGCGCGGGCTTCTTCCTCTCGTGGTGCCATTCTATGACCAGAACTATTGACGAAACGCGTTTCACAGTCCAGTGGCCTCAAAGCGTTGCTTTCACGTTTGTATCGCAACAGTGGACGTGGTGATACATGCAAAGGCCAAGAGTTAATAAGACGTAGTTAGCTTTCGGAACTCGGGCCAATATGCCAACCGACTACGTAGTCATCATCATATTCTGACATCGTTTCTTCAAGGAGCGTTCAGTGCAAATTTCCCTCTAGAGCTCCGAGCGACTAAGTAAGTGGCGATGTCCAGCATTGCCCAAAACGGCAAATCTGAGATCATTACTCAAAGGAGCCCTCCGAGATTCCCTGGATAGGTTTAGCGTGGGATGGCCCGCGTAGAACATGCGTGGTTGGGCTGGAAATGGAGGCCCGGCGATTACTAACAGACCGTCCGTTCAGGGATGCACGGCTAGAAATGCTTCCAGCCTTGTCGAAGGGACCCGAATCTCACCTCCTCATGTCGTCGGGAGTAGTGCTTCGATTCGTTGCCTAGAGAATATGGACCTGAGAGGAGGGAGCGAACCTTCTACCGTAATGGTAAGATGCGGACACCCCTAGGAGGAAACGAGCAGCCCCTCTCGGATATCACTGGACATGGGAGCGAACCTGTTTGTTACGAGTACCCTTCTACGCACGGTGCACGGATGGAGGACGGTGGAAGGGAGGATGGGAGAAAGCACTGGCTACGTAAATCGAATACGAGTCTGAGACGTTCCTGAGAGTGAAGCACAGTGTCGTGCGTAGTCCCTATAATAGAGTCCAAGTCACACTTATGGTGCTACCGGGCCTCTAGGACCTAAGCGCAACCTCTCGCAACAATGCCCTCCTCCAGTCGACTATCAATCGCCATCGTCGGGGGCGGCATCGGGGGACTCTGTCTGGCCATCGGCCTTCTTCGGAACAAGAACCTCGACGTCGCCATCTACGAAGCAGCACCCAGATTCGCCGAAGTCGGTGCTGGGGTTGCCCTGGGCCCAAACGCCCAACGTGCGCTAGCCCTCATTTCTCCCGCCACCAAGCAGGCATTCCTCCTCCACGCCACGGCCAGCCTCTCTTCAGAATTTCAACATGTCTGGTTTGACTTTCGGAACGGTAAAGCCGGCGAAAAGGATGGCGAAATCCTCAGCAAAGTCAAAAATGAGACGGGTCAACAAACAGTCCACAGAGCCAAGTTTCTGGACGAGCTAGTCAAGCTCATTCCGGAGGGAATCGCCCACTTCGGCAAGCGGCTCGTTCAGATCCAGAAGCACCCTGCTTCCGGGGCTGGGTTGTACGAACTTGTCTTTGCGGATGGGACGGCTGCCACTGCAGACTGCATCATCGGGGCGGATGGAGTTCACAGTTCGGTGCGGCAGCATCTGCTTGGGGAATCTCACCCGGCTGCCACGGCCGTGTTTACCGGGACCATCGTTTACCGCGGCCTGGTTCCGATAGATGTTGCCCGTGACGCCATCGGTGAATTTGCTGAAAACTCATATATGTGGTGTGGAGAGGGAGGCATGGTCATGACCTACCCCATTGATGACGGTGAGACCATGAACGTGGTTGCGACTCGAAATAGGAAGAGTAACTGGGATGGGGCTCCATACACCAAGCCCGTGGATGAGGAGACGGTGCGAAACGATTTTGTAGGCTGGGGAGGGATTCCGGGCAAAGTCATCGAGGTATAACTCCGTTGATCCTTCTTTCCGGTCAGGCATGGTTAACTACCACATTAAATATATTTAGCTCCTGCAACAGCCAACGATGTGGGCGATCCTAGACCATTACCCAGCTCCCTATTACCATTCCGGGAATGTCGCGATGATGGGTGACGCCGCCCATGCAACCAGTCCTTTCCAGGGTGCTGGTGCAGGGCAGGCAATCGAAGATGCCTTGGTCTTGTCAACCCTCTTTCAGCAGGTGACCAATCGGGGACAGATCAACCCAGCATTGGCCGCGTACGACAGCGTGAGACGACAGCGGTCCCAGAAAGTTGTTGCCACCAGTCGCGATGCGTTAAAGCTGTTCTGCTTCGACGATGGCTATGTGAACGGAGACGCGGAGCGCTGGAAGGAAACATGGGAAGGCCGGATGAACTGGCTATGGGAAATTGATTTGCTGAAGCAGAACGAGGATGCACTCAATGCTTTTGCAAACATCATTGAGAAACAGCCTTCTGCTCTGAGGGGGATGCTCTAAATGCTAGTGGAATTTATGCAGATCCTACAGATGTCGAAGGAAGCAGAGACTTATACGTCAAAGTTTAGTTTGGAATGTCAGTTGTTCTCATCCTCCTGCTATATCAGGCTTGGATGTACATTATTTCCCAGTGTCCACAAAACAGACAAAGTGATCTTCATAGAGCATTTTCTTGTTTTCTTTTTTCCTTTTTCTCCTTTGCCTGGTTTATCGCAGCGGTCAAATGTCTGCTGTTTTTGGAAATGAACATCTGGGACATACCTCGTGGGTATACCGTAGTTGTCCACCATATCTACTCCCTACAGAGTAGATAGAGCGGATGCTCTGCACCCGCCAGGATAACCTCCGATCCATAGGCTACATCGTCTGGGGATTATCCTCTAATCGTCTTCGTGGCTTCTTTCCGAATCTCCTTCGGAATCTTCTCCAAGATCATAGTCGATATTCCCCCTCACTCCATAAGACAGATCTTAAATTTTCTTAAATTATCCACAGCCAGGTTCAAAGTCAGGCCCACCTCCTGACATACAAGACGCAATCCCTCCTCCCATAGTTCGTAATGCTAGGAATGCTCGGTGTGATTCTGGATCCATAGCCGCATGACGATCTCTTCCCAGTACAGGTGTGTACGTGCCCACATCAGTTAGGAAACGATAGAGCAGACCGATCTCCCTATTTTCCTCCCAACTAAAATCATACAGGCTTATGTTAACTCGTAAAACTAGCTCGCGCAGGGACTTGGGTAGTAGGGGGCCAAATTTCCCCGCGTGTTTCGCATACCAGCCCATTAGGACGCGAAGCAGCATTTCGGCCGATCGAAGATTGCGGAATTTATGTGGAATGCCGTGAAACGGATCGCGGATATGATCATCAGCTCCGGCCCAGTAACGATCGCCTACATTCGAAGGGCAATATCCCACCCCGAGAGCAAGCTGCTCAACGGTCTAGCTAACAAATAGCGGGGAATGCGCTAGCATTGGGGCATATTGAGACAAGCTCGCTTTCATATCTATAAGCCATTCCAAAGTGTAGATTCTTCAGGCTTGTTGTTGGGGAAAGTAGAAAGTTCATATCTATTTCAGAAAGAGTAGTGCGGACGAGAACCAATGTCTTCAGTTTACTTAAAGATCACGGCTTGCTTTTCTGCTATTCTGTAATATCGCGAAGCCATATATTTAAGTGGCGCAAAGATGGTAAGCAAAAGCATACCGTACATTACTCCGGGTTGTATAGAGGATAGTTATCAGGATATTGGTCATTGTACATATCTTCATCCTCGGCGCTCGGGACATTTTCCCCGTAGTGCACTATCTCAAGTTGCTGCAACGTCGACAATACCCCATTTGCAATAAGAGGGAACGTTTTCTTCTTCTCAGGTATCCATCCTGCGAGACTGAGGAATAATCCACGCAAAATGGCTGCAGATTAGAAAGCTGAGAGAAAGGGACAGCGGTAAAGCAGTAGATAATTTTCTCTATGGAAGGGAGAGTACCTCGCTTCGGTGCCAGGGAATTGAGCACATCGTAATCTCTATAGACTGGTCAGTAACATCGCGGAAAGTCTCCTAGCTTACTGCTTTCGTTCATGACGGTGCGCCACCGTATCGAAACCGATGAGTGAACATAGATCACTTAAATCCTGCAATCTCTTCAAATGTTTGGAGCTGTTGAGACAGGATGCCTCTTGTGATGAGCTCTTTGCGGAGAAACTGAATCTTACCGCGCATAGCCTCGACTTTATAGAACACATAGTGCTCGGCTTTTGAGGGTTTCAACGGTAATTCTATCTGTTACGGGCCACTTTCAAGCCATAGGCGTCGAAGGTCTTGCATAGCTTCAACCCGAGTGTCATCACTTTTCCGCTCCTTCTGTTCCCACATGGTATTGCCAACAAGCTTCCACCGCCTTTGCTACCGCTTCCTGCCTACTACATAGTGATAATAATAATCATCATACTTCAATCGACTTCCATAACCATGACACCAAGGGCCTAGAACACATCTTCCTAAAGTAACATGCCGAGAAGGAAAGTATGTGAGGTCAGCATGAGAGATGGGTCGTAAATGATCTCCTGAATGGGAAAAGTGTTTCTGATTTTCATATCAGCCAGTGCTCGTCGGGAGGTGTTGCATAAAAACTTCCGTGTCCTTGGTTCGATGGACCCTGTTTCAATTTCTACACGGGGCTGGCGGCCCCGTGTATCGATGCCGGATCGAGCTGCACCTTCTTCATGCCCTCGATTGCCAGGGACTACGATAGGTTCCTCGAGCACCTGTACTAATTCCACACTCGGTGGATCTGGTCCGCAGAGTGCCACTGCTAGCCAAAGGGGTTGTTTAGCTGCTGCTGCTGTCTGACATGAGCCGTTTATGAAGATAGTTCACACACCCGAGAGTACCACATCACGAATGCAGGGTTCAAGTTTGAGCTATTCCTGCTAGTCCGGCTGCTGCCGAAAATTCCATTCCTTACTGGGTGTGCTTTCTTCCTATTGCTCCCTCAGCCTTTCAGCTCGCTGGTCGAGCTCGGGATTGGCGGTGCCTTGATTCAATTCTGCTCATGCACGAGGGATTGTCTACGTGCTTACGACAGATAGCTTTTGTGCAGTAAGCTCGACGATAATCTCTGGTGACATTGTCATTATATGTACATCCTTCTTTACGGGGCCGGTGGTGTTGCTCCGCGAGTAGCATTGCTGGACAGTGCCGGATCGCCTTAGGACTCATTGGACCCCATCAGGTGTACTACTAAGAGGACTTGGCAGCATCCTTCAACTGTTGCAGATAGTCATTGAGGTCGGTGACATTGACCTGGGGGACCATTTGGGCGGTCTGGATATAGGAGGTAACTGCCGACATCATCAAGTAAGTCTCCAGGCTCTTCGTCGCCGCACATGGGAACCGATGCGGGGTCAACTCACCATATTTATTCAACTTCAACCACTCGTTCGAGATCCTGTTGAGTTTGAGCTGGCTCAGGGCCATCTTTGGAATCTTCTCTTCAAACGAGGCTGCCTTATCGTTAATATACTTGACCTGGGTCCCCATGACATCCCAGCCTCCTTTCAGTGCCTCGATGGTCGCTATGGCGGGGCCGATCAGACCACTGAGCTCCTTCGCTTGGCCCTGTCACCCTCACCTAATCAGACCAAGGCTCTTTCCATAGCACCAGTGGGGAGAGGGACGGGGGGAGAGTACCTTCATGGATGTCACATTGGCCTGTAAGGTCTTGTGCAGTAGAACACTGGCGTGTTCGTCCTGGATGAGTTTGTTCATCGCGTCAATCTTGGCCTCGTATTCATTGATCTCGCTTTGCTTTTGAGCAAACACGATAGGTCCCGCAATAGTTCCCGCAATGGGGCTATGATGGGCCTCCCGGTCAGCAGCAGGGGCAGGCATTCGGGATTGCAGGACTTACATCCACACGTAGGCGGCGGTCATCTTCTGATCAAAACGATCTGTGGTTCACAGTTTAGCCACCGAACACGCTGGCCAGGCCAGAGGGGGCCCAGAACGTACCCTGATCGATGATGGCTTGATAGCCTTTGATATCATCTTGATGGGCTTGGATCTGGGCTTCCAAGTCCTCGATATTGCCCAGCTCAGTGGTTAGGATGGTGGTCATGGATGTTTCCAGACCCTCCAAGGTAAACTGGTTCGACTGACAGCTCTTGTCAAAGGCTTCCAGGGCAGACTTGACCTTGTCGATGCGGGATAGGATGATATTCACATCCGCGAGGAGGTCGTCGGTTATGTCCTTGATGTTCCCGCGGATCTGCTCCTGCTCCGCCGCATCATCGGTGTCGTTATAGTCGCCGCACAGTTTCAGCATGACGACGTAGTACGAATCCTCCGCGTCCGTGCTCCCTGCATCGTCGGAGTAGTTGTAGATCTTCTGGGCGAGGCCATTCATCTTATCCCAGGTGCAAAGCTTGTCAAAGTCACTGTCGTCGTCGTCAGTGGACCTTTGGGACTTCAGAGCCTTCTGGCCCACCGTCCATTGCTTGACAGCCGTGTTGTCATCTCCGAGAAAGCCCGTACAGTCGGCGTGGACCTAGTTACCTGAGGGTTAGACCAGATCCCATCCATGAGGAGTTGTCGGACCGACAACACGGGATGACACGCCGCGACTTACTCTCTTGTACGCCTCGATTAGCTCATCCACCTTGTTCCAGATCTTCGGGGTGATCAAGGAGGTATCCACAATGCCCGTTTGGTTGCAATAGTTGGTGCGATCCAACGGCAGCACCCGGCCCCCGTGGAGATACCGGTTTAGTGACCCCATATCGGCATTGCCTAGGCCGAAGACGGTGTCGTCGTCATTGTCACTATCACCATCCGCGGCGGACGGTCGGCGAGCGGCTTTGTTCAAGTTCGTCTTGCTCATGGTCTGGCCCTTGGGGAACCAGACCGTTTCGTCGTCAATGACATCGGACATGGTGCAGGCTTCTCGGGCTGTGGAAATCTGACAGGTGGGTGATGGGTGGGCGATATTGAGAGATGCAGGAGGACTTAGGTGTGAGGAATCTCAAAGCAATGGGTAGCCAGCGGAGGACAGGCGCTTTTGTACCTCCATGGCATTGCGACCGTCGTCCCTTCCACCCCGAGGCATTAATTTGTTCCTGTGGCCCTGAGACATTTTCCCCTCTTGATACGTCAGGTCCACAGGCTTTTGATTCCCATTGATGACGTGGACCATCAATCCTGAGATATTTTCCCTGTTGGTCCTTCCGATCCACGGGCCGGGACGGGCCTGGTTCTCTTGCTGCTGCTTCTCCCCTGTTTGATTGACGTCAGGTGCTGCATCGTAACGCATTCGGAATTTGCAAGTCGAGGTTCGCATTGACTCGACTGGAGGAGCTGGAGCGGGGTTGGTGGCGACGCTAGAGAACACTTGCATGAGGAGCTGTTCCTTGATATGAGTTGCATGATACACACGTCATTTACCTGAGGGAGAAAGAAGGGGTCAAGTGAGAGGTTACATCATTTTCAACATTGTCTCTTCTTCCACCAAGAATGTCTTGGGGCAAGTCGTTGAGAATGTCATGAAGGAAGAACCTAGCGACAACAACACGTAAAAGGCCTCCCTCTCGCTCTCCGCCCTCATGTTCTTTGCAATGACAACCATCATCCCCAAGCTTCAAACACAATGTTCACCGACAACCAGCCCAACACCCCGGCAGGATGGCAGGCGTACGCCTCCCTGAAAACACTGACCGAGATCCCTGCGACTGCACACGAAAGTCGCGATGGAGATGGGGTAAGTCTCGCAGTCTCTTGACTCCCCTCCCCTTGTCATCCCCGACGCTGAAATGGCCCTCGTGCGCGCGGGCAGGAAACAGAGACGTATCGGAATATCTACCTAGACGGCAGGGCGATCATCCAGCAGCCGCTGACGGACTGCGAGATCTACACCGATGTCATCGCCTTCGCCGGGACGGACGAGGTGATCCTCTCATACGGGGAAGACACGACGGTGGAGATCAATGCCCGAGTAGTCACGGCTGACCAGCCGGTGCATCTGAACATGACCAAGGCGGGGGCCCGGAGCAGCGCGATCATGTTCTACGCGGCGGTGGTCGATCAGCCCATCAGCGTCTCGGTCGAGGGAGCGCAGCGCACTACCCTGGCGCTGGGGGCCGACTCGGGCAATCTCGGGGCCCAGATCGCTTTCGCCGACGGGCAGCTGTCGGTCTCGTACACCGTCAAGCACGACTACGACGCGACCGCGGTCTACCAGGCCTTCCTCGACACCGAGCTGCGCGTGGCACTCGCCCTCTTCTGGACCCGGCCGGCCATCGCCATCTCCATCTGCGCCTACGTCGCCCGGTCGACCTACGGGACTGGGGCGCACAGTCTGTCCAACGCGCAGGCCGTGGCCCTAGGCCAGCAGCTGGCCGCTCACGCCATGGCGGGGCCTAACGCCAACTACGCGCCCACCCTCCCCTTCCAGACCTACCATGATACCATGCGGGACCAGCTGGCGGCCGCGCAGACCTTCGAGCAACAATATCAGCGGTTCCAGGACCAGGAGAGTGCCGAAGCTGACAAGGTGGAGGCCTGGACCACGATGCTGCAAAACGCGCAGAATCAGCGGTCCACGCGGGTAAGCGTACAGGAGCAGACCTTGGCCAAATACCGGGATGCCTGCAGGACCGCAGAGGCATGTAACAAGCAGCTCACGGACGATAATGAGGAGCTGCGACACGCGCAGGATGCCTTCCAGGATGGCCTCGTGAAATGGGAGAACGCACTGATCCTCAAAGCAGTCTTTGGCATCCTGTCAGCTATTTTCGGTCAGTTGCCTTCTCTCTCTCTCTCTCCTTCCCACCTTGTTATTTGGGGTCCTCGTCGCTAATTCACTTTCGGGGTGTAGAATTTGCGTTCGGCGTCGCGGAATTGTGCATTGGGGATGATCCGGCGGGGGCCACCAAGGGGGTCGAAGACGCGATTGACAGCGTGGAAAAGGCCGAAGAAGGGGCAAAGGAAGTCGGCCAGATCCTCAGCTCCAGCACTCTGCAGAAGCTATGGACTTTCACCCAGGCCCTGGGAAAACTGTATCCCAAGGTCGATGCGCTGGTCGAGGCGGCGAAGGCGGTGGCCGATCTCCCGGGTGGGGACGCTGTAAACATCCCTTCCTTGGATGATGTCTCGGGCGCGGTGGGCTTCGACACAGATGCGAGTCTGATCAACAGCCTGGAGGCGTGGGATGACTGGGAACTGGAGTGTGACCAGCAGATGGAATGGGCGACTGACGACCAGAAGATCGACGGCGCCAGTGAGTATCGACTGGCTTTGCGCAAGCATGCGGTGCACGGGAGAGCGCTGGCCCAGGCCCAGGCTGAAGCGATCAAGCAGGGGCAGCAGTATGTGCAAGCGACCCTGGAAGTGCTGCAGTCGGATCAGGACATCCAAAACCTCCAAGAGTTGCTGGATACCGACATTGGAGAGGAGGCGAAGTATGCCGCAGCCCAGGCCAAGTTCTACGATCGGTTCCTGCAGCTGGGGACTAGCCTAGCGATCCAGCTCCAGTACATCATCGATGCCTATCGCTTCTACGCCCTGCAGGACAGCCAGGTGATGCTGGACTCGCAGAAGTCCGTGGGGGACTTCCAGCAGGACCTCGCCACACTGCACGCCGAGATGCAGAATGTGGATGGCCAGTATGCCGAGGATTTCACGCGTGAGTGAATGCCCTTTCTCCTTCTGTTAGCATACTCTCTGACAATCGCTGCCCTGCCTAGCATTCGATTATTATGTGTATTCTGATGAGGTAGGATGCATCACTCCGCCCTTGGCTGTGTGACACTGACCGAGAACACCACCACAGCTCGCCTCCAACTATCCCCAGTTGATCATCGATGGCCTGAAGGACAGCAGTCAGGGTAATAAGGCCACCTTCACTATGGTGGCCACACCGCAGGCCAGTTCCACTGCCAGTGAGAACAACTATGCGTATCCCTTCGTCGGAGGCTCTCACTACCGACTGGACGGGTTAGAGATCCTACTGCTGGACGTGAAACCTCGCCCCGAAGCCGTCCATGATGGAAGGGCGGTGGTGAGTCTCAAGATCGAGACGTCCGGTTCGTATAGCGACATCCAGCACGAACAGGTCTTCTACTTTGTCGGTACAACGCAGCAAAAACGCTATTCGTATGAGATCGATGCGGACGGCACCTTCCTTCGCACCCGCGACAGCGCCATCTTTGAGCCGACCAACCACGCCGAGCCCCCGCCCTTCACCCAATGGACGATCACACTGGAGACACCGGAGAACGTGGACCTAAGTACTCTGGACAAGATCCAGCTCCATTGGAACGGGAAGTATCGTCCTTATTGACGAGAAAATGTGCATGAGATCATCTCTTCATATTTGAATAGCATTCTACCATGCCAAAAATTTCTGGCCGCTTGATCATTTATCTGTCTACTTTCAATCTCTGCTCTTGCGTTACCCCCCTTCTCCCTCTTTCCAGCTACTCAAATCTTCCCCATGAGCTCCCCTGCCTCAATTCAGATATGCATTCTTGAAATCGGTAACTATTGCCATGAGCCAGGAAGTTAGCTTTGTATCACACCCAGGTGCCCCAATCTCCGCCCTAGAAAGACACTGAGAGAATGGGGGGGTTAGGAATAGAAGTGACCTGTCTACTTAGCTTACCGTGCGTCTGCAGTGTGGCCCATTTGTCGAGTAACTTGCGCTCCACCAGCCCTCCAAGCGGGTTGTCGTCCGGGTCCGCGTGCTTTTGGATATAGTCAACCAGGTTTTGAATGTCATCCGCGATCAGGGTCGCACTTCCTATCAGTATTCTATGTTCAATATCCCACCCGTACCCTCCCGGTTCCTCACTTGAGGCCCACTCACCGGCCATCTTCTCCACCTCCTGCAGCGAAGCGCTCATATCCTCCACCATGCTGAACCCCTCCAACAAGCTCTAATTCACCGTTTATATTTAGCCCACGAACCCGCAATAGAACGGACGTTTAACTGTTATCTCACCTGCACATTCCCCAAAGCATCCAGGTCATCCTGGAGGCTCCCCTGGTCGTCCTCGCTGGTCAACCGATCGCGCAGAGCGGAGCCCTGGAACGGGGCGGCCAGGGTCTGCACGGCCGCCTCGCAGTCCTCTGCCTGCAGGGTGTAGGAACGGAGGTCGTCGCTCCAGCCGGTGGCGCCGTCGCGCAGGATCTGCACCCAGTAGAGCCGGTCCTGGACCTCTTTCTGTACCCGGTCGCGGAGGGTCACGTTGTCGGGATCCTGGCGCAGTGCTTCGATGTCCGTGAAGATTTTATCTAGTCGATCGTCAGTGGTTGGTCACATCTTGTTGTCCCATCTTTCCCCTCTCCTCCGGGTTTTGCATTCCCCACGGGAGACCGGGTGGGATACCCCGGTAGAGGAAGATACACATACCGTAGTCGTCCGGGGCACTGGCGCAAAGGGTCAAGGCATTGTCACAGATGGTGCCTGTGTAGTTGTAGGCCTCCTGAACCAAGCCCCAAAGGGAGTCAGTGGAAAATTGGAACAAGCAAAACGGTCAGAACTCCCACGGGATATTCCCGGACGCATTCGCCTTGTTGTTTGCTCTCCCCCAGCCTCCCGGATGCGATGATCACCCCAAGCAGTCAGGAGAAGAAGAAGAAGAAGAAGAAGAAACCTACATTAAGGCCGAGAGCGACTTGCTGAACCTAGAATAAACCCGCGGCCGGTCCATAGGGCGTCAGTCATTTCTGCTCCAAGCAGCGGGTGTGAGTGAGCAGCAACGTACGGTCAAGAACTGCTGAGCGATCGGGTTCAGGTAAATGTAGAGCTACGAGAATCGTTAGCCAACCCGACGGATCTCATATCTCGCGGATCATACGATCTGGTAACCGCTCTCCCAAAAGCCGGTTTTCTGGCGCAGGCTCTCGTCATCTCGAGGCAGATTCTCCGTTGACTTGATGATATTCGCTAGCTTCCGGAAGGAGGTCAGCGTCAGGCAGAAATGGTCGTCGACGAGGAGATCGCGGGGGCTGAGGAAATCAGCGTCGCGAGGCATGGTGGGAGAGAGTGAGGAGGGGAATGAGGAGGCCTACTTGGGAAGGGAGCCGCGGTTCGCCCTTGGGAGGGTTTTATTACCGCGAGAGGGGAGGACCCATCATGCCTGGTCCATGCCCAAGGAAGAAAATCACGCATGCAGTTACGTAGTACTCGGAGGAGAAGCTCGATTATTTGCTGCCTCACTCGCCTTAGCATCTGCCAGCTACATGCAGGGTTGCTGTTTAGTGGGCATTCATTATGTAGCTAGCTCAGCTATGAGGTATCCGTGCGATCTAGCTTCCTGATATTTCCTTTTATACATACTGCTTATAACTGAAAGAATTGGAGATAGCCTCCCATAGGAAACAAATCGAAAAGTGTAAATACAAAGGTATAAGAAACGAATAATAGAGATTATTCTGGAAATCCTGTTTGTTTCTAACTATTATATACAAGCACATATTCATCAATTCTATACACCAAAGATGTCTTTCTTTACAGTTCGTTTCTTACCCTTAAACCACTATCTATTTACCCTTACTACACGATATACCGCCAGTGATTCCCGAGGAGATTTGTCCTTGCAGTGCCCCCTTTTGGTGTTGGAAGTTAATCGACCCGTGGGCAGCATCGGCCGGGATCTGAGCCGATAATGTGTTTTCCCTTCCTTTTTATTCTTTTCGTGTTGTCGTCAGTCTATGCATCTCTCTTTTGCGGACGTGTCAGTGTAGTTGCGGCTCATCGGTCGTTTCCCCGAAACTGGGTGTTCTAATGATAAGAGATGATTATCCGGGAGGTTAATGGGTGAAGCTTCTCCGCCGAGCGGTTAGCCGCTCAGGCACCAAGGCATAAATCTATGCCTATATAGGTAGGCGGTCTAATAGAGGCTTTTCTGATGTCATACTTCTATACACCGCCTGGCAAAATAGGAAGGCCAGATACCTTGTGTTACAGACCCTTGTCTAGCGCGCCTCGTCAGAAAAGTGGGAACGACAGGCAGAAAAGGGCTTTGGCTCAGATTGTCTGAAGTATCTGGCTCGGTTCCCTTAAATTGTCAGCGGGTACTGGATATACTTTCTATTACGAATATTACCCCTCCACTGCTCACGAGTCTCTAAATAACGAATAGCTTATAAAGTCTCCTTATACTATTACTAAGATATAAAAGTAGACAGTTATAACTTATATAGCAGCTTATTTATCGTAACTTCGAGAGCCCACTAGATAAAGCAATTCGCAGTTAGTTAAAGCAGCCAAATTAACTATATGTCGACATATATGTATGTGGTATTCGGAATACACTAGTAATTCTATGGCCAAAGTGGTCAGTGCGTGAGGGTCTGAATTCCTGAATCTCTGCCTCTCTCTTACTACTAAATACTGCTCAATTGGACACGTGTAGCAATAGTCAAAATAGGAAAAGTGAGGTCAAAGATGGTCATGGCGATGGCTGACTAATCTGGCGTTTCCTAATTCTGAAATAGTGGTCATTTTGGTTGACACTATATATAAAGTCCTTCTTCTAGATCAGGAGTAAAGAGACTTTGTTTAATTAATATAAAGTAAAAGTAAAAACGTGAAGTGCCTAGATCTTATATTGCTACTGGAGGAGCCCTGACAGGGACCGAAGGCCGGTAACTTGCTCAAGAAGCTATACAGATAATAGATTTAGGGCCTAGAATAACCGACTTCTAGAAAGCGTGTATCTCCGCAGTGCAGTAACTGCTATCAAATTGGTTATACTAGAACAAGCTGCTCTAGTAGACCTAAATAATTCAATTACTTTTGGCTTCAACACAATCATATAGCGATTAGATATTTCCTCGGTTAAAATCATGTTCAGTCGGCCCGCTCGGTTGTGGATTGCGTTATGTATTTTGCTTGTTGAATAAGGTGCATAACGCCTGGTAACATAAATTATTGGATTGTAATGAGTGAGTGGTAATGGAATCACCTTTCCTAAGTCAACAAACCAGTGGCCAGAGTTTATAAGCGCCAAGATTTCGCAGACTGGAGAGCTCCCTGAATATAGAGCTTTTTTGGGGGTCGGCCTGCGGGAGGCCACCCAGCTAAGACGGATATTTGGGGGAGCGATAGGGATTACGCGAAATTTCCGATGTGGTATTGTCACAGATCGAATAGCGATTCGGCCTGATGACTGTACAGGATATACCCTGACCCAGGTGCTTAGACAATCGGCCGCTGATGAGGAACATTAGGCCATACAACGGTTTGGTTTCATGGGGGATTCTGAATCCTTTAGGCGTAGAGCTTCAGCTATAAATTAGCAAGCCGTTAGTAGTAGGAGGAAGTTAAGAATCAGTCTCCTGTCTAGATAGTATCTACTGCCTGACTTTGATCTTTCGCTCTCCTTTGGCGTACGTATCCTTACGTAGTTGACAGCTCTTCTACCCTGAATAGTAGATACCCTTGACAGATATATATATTTCTCACCGTTAAAACACTGGATTCAAAGCACATATGTCAACATACGCTTAGCCCTCCCTTGTTTCTATAGGATAGCTTATTACTATACCGAAGATATTGAAATACAAAATAAATTTCGAAGAATTTTAAGAAAATACAGTAGAAAGACAATATTCATTATATGGCGGTGGGCGGTCAGGTCCGCCACCAATACTTATAATAATAACATATGTAAATAATAGTTAGTTATTTATCAGGCTGATTCGGCATTTTATGCCCCCTATTTAGGAAAGGTGCAGAAGTAACCCGCGAGTTATCAATGCGGGATCAGGTGAGGGTTGGTCTTTTCAACCCGCAAATCTGCGGGTTAGGGTAACGGGTTGGCAACTCCAACCCGTTTTGCGGGTTATGGCGAGGTCTAGCGAGGTCCCACTTGTGACTGACATGTATCCTGTCACCTATAACCTGCAGGGGTGATTCTTGGCGCAGCGAGAATCATTTAAGTATTATTTGTTTTTCCCCCCTCACCTTCCGCGGCTGGCCCTGGCCCGATATCTGACAAACTGTTCTTGGCGCCTGTCCTTCTTGAATCCAAGCCACTATGGCCTTGAATCGCTCCCGAACCACCCGACAAAAAGTATTCTCCAGTCGTTCCCGAACCGGATGCCGCACCTGCAAACTGAGACATATTAAGTGTGACGAGACTCTGGGATCATGCAATAATTGTACCTCCACCGGTCGCACATGCGATGGGTCTGATCACCATTTGATAATTATGAATCAGAAACGACTTCCCGCTGGGCCAGGTACACATGCTCTTAACTCCAATCTCCCGTGGATAAGCCCTAGCGAACGACGCTATTTAACCTTTTTCCAGAGCTATACGTTGCCTATGCTTGTCGGGTATTTCGATTCAGAGCTATGGCAGATATTAGTGCTCCAGTTAAGTCAGGTTGAGCCAGCAGTTTGCCATGCCGTTGCTGCGCTGGGTGCGCTTCACGAGTTTGTGGAGGTCCAGGGAATGCGGGCAAGGGATTTGAAGTATAAAGGCTGGTGTCGAAATTTTGCTCTATACCAGTATAATAGGGCAATTCTAATGCTGCGTCAGCGTTTGGGATCTAACGACCCGCAGTTACGGCTTGTTACACTGTCGTGTTGTATGATCTTCATCTTTTTTGAATTTACTTGGGGGAATTATGGGGCTGCCTTAACCCACCTTAAGTGTGGACTTAATATCCTGGCGAATCGGGAGGGTAGTGTCGGCCGTTCTTTCGTCTGTGCAAGTCTATATTGTCATCAACATAATCCCTCCTCGGCGGAAGATACGCTTGTCCGCGCCTTCGCTCACCTAGATGTCCAGGCAGTGCACTTTGACTCTTCGTGCAATACCTCTTTCTACCCAGCGAAGGTGTATATGTCTACAGTACAATCCAGACATCTTGAGCTAAAGAACCTCCAAGATGCAAAAGAAAAACTCGATCCTATAATAAATAATATTTTCTGCTTCCGGACAATCTGTGACACCACCCTACGCGATAAGTCGGCCAATCATCTGCCCTTATATGTTGAGCATCAAAAATTACGTCTAAACCTGATTGACCATATCGCTGCATTTGACCGATATATCGACTGCTTCCCGCCCCGAACTATTAAAGAACTTCGCAGCGTGGATTTGATCCGTCTCCACCACTCATTAATCACATTAGTGCTGGAAACAGTCCTTAGTTTATCCGAAATGGTCTTCGATAAATACATTATGGAGATGAGCAAATCTGTCGATCTCTGCGAGCGAGTTATTAACAGTCTCAGGGCTGAACATGGCAATACTCTCCCAACTATTCTAATGGACATGGGTGTGATCCTAGTATTATCCTGGCTATCTCTAAAATGCCGTGAGTTCAAGGTTAGATACCGAGCCCTTGAACTTTTGCGGTCGTGGCCTCATCGCGAAGGGCCAAATGAATCCACAAAGTTTCTATATTCGTGTGCGGAGGCCGTTAAGATCGAGAGCGAGGGGGTTGATCAGTCTGGATATCTGCCGGAGCGTTCAAGGGTACGGGCTATTTCAACGCAGAACTTGGGAGACGGGAAAGCTGTGCTTCATTATACAATGTCTGCTCCAGATAAGGCGAGATTGGATATACATAAGAGAGTATTTACTATGCGTGATGGCCACTGGGAAAGGAAGGATGATACGCCCGGCGACCCGGACATGATCGGAGAGAAGCCAAGCGGACAGGGAGGGAGTAAGTGGAATGATTTTGGGTTGGCCACAAGCAGGAGCGAGGAATAAATAGTCCCAAATCCCACCATCCGTGTACGCAGATGGTTAATCTCACACCGATAACCTAGAATAGGGAAGAAACTTGTCGAGTTTGTGTAGTTCAGCAACTTTGGGCTTTTATATTTAGCTAATGTTGTGATTAAATACCTACACCTATATCCGAGTATTCAACGCTGAACACGTGATACTATGTCGAGTATATCGAATATTCTTTGAGCATACTTATTTTAATTTATTCGCATTCGATATTCGATTCTACTGTACTTGTAATACTATTCGTGGCTTTCGCTTCCCTTTGCCCCCATACTTCTTTCCGGTCCGTCCGCCGCTATGCGTGTCGCATATCATGACATAGCCCCTCTGATTGGTCCATCAGGCTGTCTCTTCTGCCATTTCCCAGTCAACAGCCCCTAAGCTGTACTGTAGTGCTAAAAGTGACCAAATTCTTTGGGATCTGTTTTCTTCTGTGAGATTGGCAGGTCAGTGTGTTTATTCTTCTCTTTTATAATCTGATCTGGTTTCCTTATATTGTCGTGCCGGCTTATGAGTTACCTGTGGGTTCAGATCGCTCCGCGACTATCACCGACCCAATAGAGACCTACCTGGCAAATAAATTGGGGGGCGGACTCTCCTGGACATCCACAACCCTAGACCAGGTCTTCAATACCTGTGGTTTGCACTGGGCCTCAACCAAGGATTACCTGTCAACAATACCAGTACACCCTGAGCCCGAGCATGTTCCAGATATCACATATCATCTGCTACATAAGTGTCAGGTGCTATTGCTGATCCACAAGAGTCTTACATTATATCTATAATAACAGGAGAGAAGACCGCAGGAGCTAGGGACTGCTGCTCCCTATCTAGATAGACTTCTGTTAGATCTCTATCTCCAGCTCTACAAGGGCTACGCCTGTTGCCAGTGTAACTTCTGAACTATAAACCATAATATAATCTAATACTATCTCTTCTAGATCTATCTCCAGCAGCAGCGCGCGACTTAATGTCAAGTTAATAATCTATATAATAATATCTTCCTCCAGACCTAGACCCAAAGCCCCGTGCGGCAGTACTAGATTATAGTATACCAGGGCAACACTATCCAGATCCCAGTAGTAGCTGGAGCAGTGAATACTCATCTAACCACGATCCACCAGCGCGAGCAGAAGTGACTCCTGGTTAAGGAGAGGAAGAGTAATATCACTGCCAGGGATCCTGCAGCCAACTCCCAGCCCGTTAAGTGCACCTGGCCGTGGATGGACCGCACGGGGTGGCCCCGTGTCTACCAGGGGGTGTATTGGGGCCTTCTCCAGGGCCTGTGCAGCCTGCAGTGTTGGACCACGGGCCGCACGGATCTGCTTCTAGAATATAACCCAGCTGGGGAATCTATTATTAGCCCCGCTGCTGATGAGGCGCGTCTTCGCTACCTAATACTGGCTATAGATAGTGTCCTAGACCACTGCGAGGAGACTCTCCAGCAGACCAGTCAGTCAATTCTCTGCTAGCTGCTGACTACGAAGCTGTACCCGTGCTTTAACCGCCCCTTTCAGCCTTATGTCCGGGAGAGCAGCTGCCAGGACTACCGCCGCTCTATTAAAAGTGATTTCTGGTCTTTGTTTTCTGGACTTTCCGGATAGACCATCAATCCTGCTAACAGTTAATAGGGATTCGGTTCTGTCAATCGCATCTGGCCCTTCTGCAGCAGATCTGGGAGCATCGCCTATGGGATAATTTGGATGCTATTAATGAACTGAAGCAGTTCTTGCAGTGGACTTCCCGGCCTAGACAGCCCAGAGCGCAGTTATCACCCCAACGGAATCCTTATAAGAGCAGTGATATAGAGTCAGATAAGGATTCTCTCACTGGTCTTGAGAAGGACAAGAAAGGAGAAGAGAAAGACTAGATTAACTGTCCTATTACAGACTAGGGCATAACCCCCAGCTCTGACAGCGGCAGTTACGATGGCTGGGAGCTAGAGGTATATGATACACGGTTACCTACTGTTAGTGGAATGTATCACAGCCACTTTGCCGCTGCCAACACCTCTATAGTCAGCCCTACGGTGGGTGAGCTTCTTGAGCTGTGTTTCCAACTGAATACCGCGCTGATTATGGACCGCTTTAGCTCATGAGATCGCCCAAGAACTAATCTAGCAAGGCTGTAAAGTTATTATTTAATGGGTCTCGGGACATCAAGGCATAACAGTGAATGAAAAGGCTGACCAAACAGCTAAGGCAGCTGCAGGAAAGACCCCTAGGGCTATAGGCAGGAGTCTTAGCCTGGCCTATACAAGGCGGCCCTGTACAGAGGCAAGCCAGATACAAATGCAAGAATGGCTTAGAAAGGCCCTAGCGGACAGATCGCCTAGGTTCCAACAGATCTATCAAGCACGGAAAGGATGGAGCCTAGATCAAGCCGCAGCTGCTGCTCCCAAGTAACTGGCACGCCGCTAGTAGCTACTATCAGTTGAAAGTGGGACACGTAACTGTGGTCACATATCTTTGTCGTGTAGGGGCCTAGGGCCCACCTAGATGCCAACGCTGTCAGGCCCCACAGGAGACAGCAGGCCACCTGCTGATAGGATACAGGCAGTGGCGCAGCCTGAGGATAGCTTTATACGAAGCCCTAGCTAGGGCAGGTGTAGTACTAACGGGACAAGGAGAAGCAGTTCCGGAGAGCCGCCTTTTCAGGGACTAGAGGCAACTAAGGCATAGCTGGCCTTCCTCGCGGCAACAAACAGGGAGGCAGCACAGGAAGTAAACAGAGCCTCTAGGAATGAGCTTGGGGGCCTAGAACTAGTGAAGGAAGCAGAAAGTAGAGGGAGGGGTAGTAGAGAGGGCAACCTAGACACACCTATGTGACGCCTAGCAGGCACTGAATACCGAGGAGGGCATAGTCTAAAGGCCCTGGCGCAGATAGGTAGCTCGGGTGAGGAAAAAGGACCAGAATGAACATACAAACGGTAAAGGGGGTTGGTTGAGCCCCTACGGACTGCCTGAGAACATGTGTTTGTCATAGCCAACGGCTCTATATGGACGTTAAACTTGATTAACAACAACAATAATTTCGTCGTGACTTTAATAGAGTCTTTGAATTCTATCATCACAATCCTAGTATTGATGTATCGTTAGTTGTTTTAGGCTCACTCTCGGGCCTTGACAAAGTATTTTTCTATACCTCGAAGCGACAAAGACGGTCTCCATCTCTAGAGATCTATGAGGAACTAAAGACCTATCTGGACATAGAAGGTATGTTTCTCCTGCGTTTAGGCTTGTGTAAACTCATCACACTATTTTCCTGAGGCACAACTGACCAAACCGATTCCCTTGCCTACTGGAAATCCCGCCGTGACCAGTTCCCAATCCTCTATCGCATGGCACGAGTTTTCCTACAGTTGCAACGAATAGTATTGTTTCGAGCGACTATTTCATAGCTCCCGGGATATATGCCGCTGTCGTCGAAATCGTCTACATTCTGATACTATCAAGACGATTATGCTCTGGATGTCTACTGACGGGTTTAAAACCAATAAGAAGTATAAGAATATATAAGAGGATAAGGATCCTGAAGATATAACGTTCTCATTTGAGGAGAAGAAAGATGATAATAATACAGCAAGCATTACCTTTATCAGTGATGTTGAGGATTTGGATGATCTTGAGAATGGCCCGGAGGATGGTTTCGAGCTTATCGATAAGGAGGAACATACATTGCCTGTCTACTCAGATCTAACTTTAGATGAAGTCCCTGTCATCCAAATCCTATGCTTTTCGTAATGACGTAGAGTATAACTTTTTACATATTAAGAATGAAAAATCAAACGTCATCTGATTCTATGCTGTTAATCGGAGAAAGCACTGACAATTGCGGTAGAGCTGCGTAATCATGCTGGCCATGCTCCTCCGGATACAAAAAGGAAGCAATGTACTGCACCTGGACAAGTATAACTGTGCAAGATGAGTAATATGTCCAATATATCCATAGATTCAATAAACTTACAGAAGAAAACCAGAAGTGCGCAAGTGCAGATACCAGCAAGAAAAGCCAGAGGGGAGAGGCCAAATTCTTCAACAGCGACGCACAGCTCCCACGTTGCAGCAATAATCATCAGGCTAGAGATAGTGGAAAACTGGGTCCAATTAGCGGATGCTTTCACAGAAGACAAGTGTGACAAGTACCAAGGCAGGAAGAAATCGCAGACAGTTTACATCAATAGGACGCCTCCCTGATCTATGTGAATTAGCTAGGATATCGAGCGCCTTTGCTGCCGCCATTGCTATCAGAGCATATCCGAATCCTTCATGTATCTTCTTCGTCATTGCATTCCACTGGTGGTGGGCGACCATTAGGTGACCAAGCAGGAACCAGGTAAACGATGACATGAGGTTCCTCTTAGGTCTTCGAGACTTCTTCCTGCTCAGCCAGATTCCAATCTGGGATGCTGCCATTACCATGAGCGCATAGACTATATGCTCGATAAGCAGAAGAACGGCTGTTCGTCCTTCCCAGAGATGCGCTCCGAGGTACAGAACCGGGATCATGATCGCGCCGATGCTAAAGAGCCATAGGCAGTCGTAGTATTCAGGCGCCCGGGAAGAGTGTCGGGGCCAGAGGCCAGTTGCCGAAGAAATCCAGAATACTGCCTGGGCCATGAGAATTGATGACAGACAAGCATGAGCAAGTGTACTATGGTAATCCTTAGAAAGCTCGAGAGACTCCAGTGATCCTGCTGTTATCTGTATCCAGCCAAGGATTAGGATGGACATGTCGAGAGCCGTATCTGCGTGTCTAAGATACCGTGGTATTTTCCTAGCTTTCCAAAAAGAAGTCATAAGCTTTCCATGGGTTGATGCTCTTGCGACAGCTTGCCCCACAAGGAGGATAGTTAATAATATCTTCAGGGCGAGGTATGCGCTGAAATGATTTTTGCAAATCCAGAGACCCGTAAGCGCTACTATTACCCCTATGGCTTGAACGAACGGTGCCCATTTTGGATGAGTGACCTATGATGGTCTTAATTTTCAAAGTCTAGATCAGTAAAGCGTTTCGTGAGATGACTATACTTACTTTCAGTGTCAGAGCGGAAGGTAGAACAGCTCCCAGCGAAAGTATTTGCAGGATAATAGACACCCACACTGCGGAGCCCTGCGAGGTTGCAAAGTTAGGATAATGAGTTTCACCCTCCATAAAGTACTTACCATCTTAAAGATAACAGAGGGTGCTTGAGATACTGGGAACAGCCCGATCCTATGGTGGACCAGTGGTATACCAGTTACGGATTGCACGGTGAAGAAGAATACAATAAGTGATGACTGGGTAAGCTCAACCTAATAGCACACTGTGCTACCCCTCTCGATCGAGAATCAATTCACGCACAAGGGATGGTAGGCGCCTTGCCTTTTGCAGCGACTCGTGATGCTATCCAGGGATGAGCGATTAAGTAAGACATTCTGTTAGCAGCGGCTGCATCCATGATAGCAAGGGGGGAGGTGTCGTGTAAATCTTACGTATATTGACTTATACCAAAAAATGCACTCGTAGTGTATTCTGACAAGCTAAACTCTGCTATGGGATTTATGAAACAAGACAATGAGAGTATTCTGAAGGTGTCATCCTATATGGCCAATGGCCGGGTGGCCGTGAGATGTTGATATCGTGTTTGTGGTCCACGAAAATTCGTCTTGTGTTAGGAACTTTGGCCAAGTCCAGGTCGATCAACCGCCTACAGTGAAGCAAAGCAGTATTGCAAAGTATAAACATATTTTGGAACAGACCAGAACATCCATAGCACCACCCAAATGTAACCGATCAGTCGCTTCGCGATGCAGGAAGTCAGACTCATACTTTCCCCCTTTCGCTGCCACCGATACCACAATGACTGGACATTTGCTTCAATTACAAACCCGACCGGCTGTATGAAGTACCAGAGAAACACGGAATGTGCAGCACAGCCGAATCCTTGCCTATGCCAGGCAACAAAATGTACCAACCCAGATAACCAAAATACTAGAATGTTCTTGATATATCGCGCCCATATAGTTCCCTCAGGAACACGGAGGATGCGGGTTGATATCAGTGATGCAAAGGAGCCGTAGGATCGGTAGGGCAGCTTTTGCCAGAACTTCGACCAATAACGACGTACAGTGTAAGCCTCAGCAATGTTACCAAATAGTGGTGGCCATTCGTCTGGTGAGTCTAAACCAAAGCCCACATGAACGATAGCAAAGACGTCATGATATGACTCCAAGGTGAACCAGAATGGGACAATCATGTGGAATACTGTGCTCAGTCGTAGAAGTGCCTCACGAGAGACATCAAGGTCGTCGTTGTTGCCTACTGATGCTGGTAGAATATTCCTGCAAACGCTAAAGATAACCCTTCGAAAGAAGGAGCGTTTCTTTGACGAAAAGTCAGAGGGATAGACAGTCATGGTGCTTCGAATATCGTTCGGCATAAGGCACAGCAAGCTAAATCGTCCCAACATAAGAAGCACACGCGTCATACAGAATTTGAGTCGAGATCGGCGCTGTCTGTTCAAGGACGAATCATTTGTTTGATGGGATAGGTCAGACCCCTTCATTTGTAGTTTGACATGGGTTGCAGTGCTGCAGTTGGGAGGCGTGTCTCGAAATGCTGGGTCAATGGCCCACGGAGTATTGATACCTCGGCAATTAAATAGCATCTTGAATGCTTGTTTTCGATTCAAACACGGTGACGCCCCTTGATTGCCATCGGCGCGGTGCTCCCCGTACGGCCTATTTCCGTGAATATAGACCACGTACGACATGTGCGAGAGCCAAATCAATGCGGACATCCCCCAGATTTCATTTGCAGTGTCATCAGGGAACACATCACTCATCCGGTAAAAAACGATAAGAATGACAATCATCGGGTACGGGAAGGTAGCTTTTGCAATTTGGGGGGGCAGCATTAGAACAGCCCATCCCAGGGTCAGACCTCCCATTGCGAGCAGGAAGATGATCGACCCTGTCGTAACGGACCACTGGTCTTGGGGTTCCTTCTCCATACTGAGCCGCGAACTAGATGCCTCCTGAAGTTGTTGAAAAGTTCATCCTAGCTGAGTGCTTAGAATGGCAATGGGCGTTCTCCTATTACGTTTGGTCCAATAAAATATATAAGGGGACGAAATGGCGGTATTCGAAATATAAAGAATGTGCAGTGTTGCACCACAGATGTGAAGCACAGTTGACACCCCACCAGCATGACAAGGGCGAAGTCAACCCTTGCGATTTGGGTAGATCCTCTATGTTAGGTTGTCATTTTTAGTGCATTCAGACGGCGTGACCACTTAATAGCTCACCGCTAGATGAGGCATCAGGAGTCCCTTATCTTGTTGTATACTTACTGTTTGTAGGGATGCTGATCGAAGATATAAAGATGTCGCTATTCACCCCATCTCAATGGAACTTTTCTACCTCAACCAAGGACACTTTGTCTAGTCTGACCAAGTTTTCCTATCAAAACATCCACTCTACAACGACACCATGAAGTTTCAGTTCGTTCTGGCCTTTTTTACGCTTGCTATGACCGCCCAGGCTGGCGGTGGTGGTGGTGGTGCCCCCGTAAGTAATATTAGAAGGATTGAATTTATTCCTTGAAATTAATTGTTGTCGTTGTAGGCCCGTCGAAGCCTCGGTGTTACCCAACTTCCTCGCGAATGGATGGGCACCCCTGTTTCAAACGAAGCCCACAAGAGCTCCAATGAAAAGATGATCGATCCTGACGCGGATATGGACGGTAAGTTGCTTGACTCTGTATTACACGGCACCCGTTGTTAACAGTTAGCTTCCAGTTCCAGTGGTGGAGAGTGAATAATGCATGTTTATCGACTACAAACCGGCACCTATTTTTCCGTGACCTATAAATGGATTGGAAGCGACATTTGGTATGGCACTATGAAGTATGGTTAATGAAACTCGCAGCAATCATTCCACAGTACTTTCAGTTATGAGACCTATTATGATATAGTAATAGATGCTGGTGGCTCAACCCGCTTGCTGCCGTGGTAAAGCTTATGAAATATTTTCAAAACTAGATAAGCTTTATGAATAAATACCATATCATATGATCATTTAATCGAAATTATATTGATTGAAAGTCGATGTTTCTAATACTATGTTTGCATAGATATACATATAAAGTCTTGGCTGGAATATTTCTAACCAGAATGCAAAAAGAATATCCCCTAAAAACCATCCGTGGGCTACGCAAGCTAAGGTAAAGTTACTGAAATCACAAATGTGGCCTATCTGCATAATGAACTAGCATAGGGAGATAATCTGGGACTGATTCACAGTGACAAGGAGTAAAATGGATGGATTCTGAGTTTTACTATCAAAAACAACGTGTTACCCAGATTCCGCTACGCTTAACGGAACCTGAATATTACACCGTCTTGGTGGTGCTCTAAATGCAAAATGTACCCTGATCGCAAGGTCCGAGAAGCTGCGGCTATAGCTTATGGCCTCAGTTCGCTGCCTTCTAGTTTTAAGACTAGTCTCACAATCCTGCCTGTCGTGATATCCTAAACCCTACCTTACGTGTCTCGAGGTCACAGGACTCACGAACACCATATCTCTGAGCGGTGATCACCTCAATAGCTTCGTTTCCTTCCTAAGGTTAGAAATTTCCGTACAGAGTCACCTATCTGAGTACAAATCGATTCCTTATCTATTTCATCTTACCAGGGCTGTCACAACTAGCACAAGTACAATAGTGTGTCAAAAGTCTGATTACACTCAAAAAAATCAAAAAAAAAGTAACAAATTCAAAATCGATTTTCTCAACAAATTCAAATGGATTTAATCTACAAATGAGTTCTATAGGTTCCTCATTCAATACTTTGTATACCAGCCACGTGCTCGATGTACAGCTTGAAGTCTACGAGGCATAGATTGAATTAAGTGGTCTATCACCTCCTGGGATATAGCTTATCAAGCTTCCTGAAAATGCTTTCTAAAGCGCGTCCAGTCAATTTATGATCTTCCCCCTAGAAAGAGCATAGGGTAGAGCTCCAAAAGCTTGCACTTAAGCAGGGCCCAGATGTGCTCTATAGGGTTTAAATCACGCAAATGAGATGGCCAATCCAGAACCCAAATTCTATAGGATTTGAACCAGTCCTGTGCTTTAGCTGAAACATGAAGTTTTGCATTATCCTGCTGAAATATAGTGCCGGATTTATAGATTGGTAAGAGGCCCGTTTCTAAGCAAGCAATATATAATTTCATTAAATAACTGTCCTGGCAAGCTAATTCATCCTGCTCTATAATGATCAAATCAGATCGGCTACCTAGCCATATAGAATTCTATACTATTTAGGAAATATCTTTTTCATGAGTTATTAGATTCACTAGATCACGCCTGTAGGCTTTATTTGAGAAACAAAAGACATATTAAGTAGAGAAATTAGACTTTCTCTACACTAAGTATTTATCAGAAAATATAGTTTATTTCAGTTAGTATATCTTAGCCACACACACATAAATTGAAGACACTTTTTGGCTACCTTAGGCCTTAGAGCTATACGCTTCTTGCTTTTCCATTTTTTTTAAATGAAATCGCTTAAGAACCCGCTGGATTGTTAAGGTAGAGACCCCAGAATCACTATTTGTATATAGGGCTCTGTAGCTAAGTTTTGGTCTCCAGTGAGCCAACAGATAGATATAGCGCTTAGTAGAATGATTAAGCTTTGCAGGTCTCTCCTTTCTATGAAGTGATTATAAGATATGATTGCGTAGAAAGCGCTTTTCTGTTGAATAGATTATATTGCGACTGACACCAAATTGCTTAGCCAATTGAGTTGGAGATGCCTTGTTTTCTAGAGCAGATAAAATGGCTGCTCAAGTCTCAGGAGAAAGCCTCTGCATTAGGCCTTCGATTTCCACTTATCTCCGTCCCAAAAGCCCTCATTTTGATGTAATAGCAGGTGGTTGAAAAAGGTGGGTTCTTTCGACGCGTCGCGGGAACGCGCTAGTGTAATCAGACTTTTGACCCACCTTGGTATCAAATCGTTAATTATGTGTTTATGTCCTTTATTTATCTCCACAAAAGCTAACAGGTCGCGACTTTGATGCGTTAGTATCACAGTAGTATCTATGGTTCCTCACTCATTTTTGTCAAGCTAGGGTGCTTGGTATTCTGATCTGCATGCATTATGCAACTCATCATGCGAACATGCAAGACTGTGTCTTTTTAGTGCAGTATTCCCATAATCCTGACCGCTATTTCATTCAAGTACCGCTAGCTTCACTGGGATGGTTTGTACACCTGTAAGCTTAACACTTGGGGAATGTTCAGTATGCGAGGGGAGTGGGGTGCCAGAGTAAATATATATCCTGTCTCGGGAGAAGCGTTGGCTGTAGGTCAAAAGAATATACCTGCCCTCTTTGCAGGAAATATATACGAAAGGAACAGAAGAATCCACACCATCGTGTCTTGCAGCCATGGAGACGCCCTCATCGACCGACTGTAGAACGGTTGGTTCAAACGGTAGAGCTATGGATGTATCTAATGCGGCTACAGGAGCCCGGTATACGTGAGCTTCGCGAAGCTATACCAACTCACTGCTTTCAACCATCCTATGTGAGATCGTTCTCATACCTTGCTCGAGACCTTTTAATTATCGCTACACTCGCACTTGCTGCGCTGCAATATATCCCGGTCATCGCCAATCCTTGGCACCGGGCATTGGCCTGGACCCTTTACGGCTTTCTCCAGGGATTGTGTGGAACAGGCTTATTCGTGCTAGGGCACGAGTGTGGTCATGGTGCGTTCTCACCATCTCCGCGTGCCAATGATGCCGTTGGATGGGTAGTTCATTCTGCCCTCTTCACGCCATTCTTTACCTGGAGGTCTCTTCATAAGCAGCATCACTTGTACACCAACAATCTACAAAAGGACTACAACTACATCCCTTTACACAGAGAAACATTTGCGGCAAATCTGGGAATCTGCCCTGAAGCGATAGAGGAGCTTACGGCCGACGCGCCAATCGTCACTCTTTTCCGCATCATCGTCCACCAGACTTTCGGATGGCTCGTATACATGACCGGATGTCTGCGGCTCACGTTACGAAACATGGGCCGCCCTCGGAGAACCTGGCGATGGTGGAGAGAAAATGCAGTCCGGGCATTGCTGGCGCTGCACAGTCATTGGGATATATGGACGATTGTAGCTTCGGATATTGGCCTGGGCTTGACAACCTCTGGCCTATGGTACTTGGCGAAGAGTGTCGGGTTTTCGACTATGTTTTTCCTGTACATTGTGCCATGTCTTTGGGTGAACCATTGGTACAGTAAGGAGAGCGTGTTCTATCCCCAGTCTTATCTGTCACCCCGCTAAGTGTCCCGTAGTTGCAATCACTTACCTTCACCACATTCACCCGGATGTACCGAAATATGACCAGTCGGACTGGACCTTCCTCAAAGGTTCACTTGGGACAGTGGATCGGGATTTTGGTGTTATTGGAAGATTCTTCTTCCACAACATCATTGACTACCATGTTGTCCATCATTTGTTCCCGTAAGTTCAAATAGCCAGGGGCAGTAATTAGCTAACCGTGGCCCCAGGCAAATACCATTCTACCATGCCAAAGAAGCGACAGATGCTATCATCCCGCTCATTGGGGATAACTATATTAATGATAGAGAGAATTCTTATCTTGGGGGTCTATGGCAGGCATTCACTGATTGCGAGTGGATAGAGCCTGCTCAGGGGGGCCAGGCTTTGCGTTACAAGAGACGACCTGTGATGCACAGGAAAACATGAGGCCAATCAATTCTACCTCATTTTGTAGAATGATTGCGAAATATTTCTTACTGATACGCGATACTTTCCAGGATCGTTGTGTAGGATCATGTGGATGGCATGGTGCATATTAGATTACAAACAACAACACAAGTGCATAAACCTAGCGTATCACGCATGTAGTGACGAGGAGACCCCTTGAAGATTGGCCGCATTTCCTGCAGTCACCCTTGAACTGAGTATCATGCCAGGGGTTTCATGGCAACCTTCACCGCTGAAGGAGAGGGGGCTAGAGAAACCTTATTGGATTCGTCCTATGAAAGTCATCCAAAGTCATGAGGAAATTGGAAATGCAGTTTTTGGACCGTCTGTATTTATATAAAATATCCGCAGTGGCTCACACAACCATAGATTTCATTGAGATGACTAGAGGCGAACTACGAAATGACTGCAACCAGCTCTAGGACCGCTTGGAGAGTCCATATTATCACTTACACCCTAGCGCTTGTTGATTTTGCTGCCGTGCTGGATTCGACCTCTTTATCGGTTGCTCTGCCGGTTCGTACACTAATATTCTGCTGAACCTTCTGCCGCCGCTTCCGAATTTTCCCCAGCCTCCCTTGTTCTTGTCGCTTATTTGACTTATGCTATTTGAAACTCCTACTGATCGGCCCACCAATATCCTTCGTGGCAGATCATCACTAGAGCTCTCAATGGAACATCGATTGAGGCCTTCTGGGTAGGAACGTCTTTCTACCTCTCCTCGACTGTATGCCAGCCGATAATCTCCCTCATTTCCGACATATGCGGCCGCAGATTCGCCATTCTTTCCTCCCTGGTCATCTTAATAACAGGATCCATTCTCGGGGCGGTCTCGCACAACTTCACGGTCTTACTATTGGGGCGATGCCTCCAAGGATGCGGTGCAGGGGGTGTTTCCGTAATGGCTGATGTGATTCTGACGGATATCATTCCCCTTCGCGATAGAGGGAAATGGTACGGGTTGATGAGTGTCCTATCCACCATCGGCTATATTACAGGCCCATTGATTGGAGGGGCACTTGCACAGCATGCCAGCTGGCGATGGATCTTTTGGATTACCCTCCCATTTGCGGGTGTCGGCCTCATCCTCCTGACTCTCTTTTTGCAGCTTGAAGCGGAGTCTATTTCGTTACGATGTCGGCTTTCTAACATTGACTATGCTGGCATCGTGCTTTTTATGTCATCATTAACTTCGTTTCTTATACCTCTCGCGTGGGGAGGAGTCATCTACCCTTGGACCTCATGGCACACCCTGGTCCCGTTGATATTTGGAGCAGCGGGTTTAATTGCGTTCATGACCTACGAGCATCATGTCGCTCGCAATCCGTTCATCCCGCCACTGATTTACTCGAATGTCTCCTCCGCTATTAATTACCTCGGTGTATTCCTTCTTGGACTCATCATGTGGACCTTACTATACTACCTACCATTATATTACGAAGCCGTCAAAGGATACAGCACTACCGTCGCAGGTCTCGCTATCTTCCCACAGACTCTAACAATCGGACCAGTGGGTATTGGTGTTTCCATTGCTATCGCCAAATTGGGCCGCTACCGCTGGGCATTATGGACAGGCTGGGTTGTATGCACCATCGGGCTCGGCCTCCTTTACCCCCTGGGTGTGGAAACTAGAATCGCACAGTGGATCTTCCTCAACGTGCCGGTGGGTCTTGGCATCGCGTTTCTGCTGCCCTCCATTATGCTGGGGATGCAGGCCTCTGCACCACCGGAGCTTATACCCATGTCTGTTACATTGTTTGGCACGTTCCGCAGTCTTGGTCGTGGTGTGGGAGTTACTCTTGGCGGGGTTATTTTTCAGAATCGCATGAAGGTTTATGTACGACAGATTCCGCATCTGGCGGATAAGGCTGCGGAGTACTCACGAGATGCGTCTGCTTTGGTGCGGGTGATTGAGATGGTGGCGGTTCAGGACGATAGGGTGAATTTACGGACAGCATATGCAAAGTCGTTGGGGGATGTTTGGGTTGCGCTGGGCTCTGCTTCAGCGGTGGGGCTTATCACCAGCTTGTTTGTGAAGGGGCACACAATGAATAAGGGGATTGAAACACGGCAGCCGCTGAAGGGGGCTCGCTCTGATGACTCTACTGAGGGCCAAGTCAAGATGAAGAATATGATCTCACAGAACGAAAAACCAGAGTCAAGATCTTGACTAAATGAAAATTTACACAACTAGGTCATCGGTAATTCAGATCATCCACACCCCTAATCCCATCACCGCAAAGAGAACCCCGGTTACCAACCATGTCAGCCCAATCCACGCTCCTCCCAGGCCCAATCCCATTCTGAACACATTCGTTAGGATAAAGATAGCCACGACATTGCCTACAGCCTGTAACCCTTCCAGGATCGTGTATAGCTTTGTAGTTTTGTCCGTCTCGACCATTCGTGTAATTATTGACCGTGCTAAAAGCAAAAAGCCAGACCCTGCTGCATGGAGTATCATACTGGGAAGGAGAATGAATAGGGATGATGAGATCCCAACCCCAAATATCGATAGAGTAAGACAGACGATGCTGAATCGTGAGAGGTATATCTCTGTCTTTTGCGGGGATACCCGTCGATGAAGTCGTTTTGATATGTAGGGGAGAATGAAGAATAGGACTGGGATATTGAGAGCAGGCTGGAGGGAAACAACAAGGCTGGCGCTGGCGAGGGTCCAGGCGAAGCGAACAGATATATATTGAACTAAGAAGCCGTTACCCCCGATAACGTTGCAGATGAAAAATGCAGGGAGAAGAAGCAAGATTCGGTAGTTGGTAAATAGGGAGAGGTACGTGGTGATAACTCGCCGCAGTTTAACACGAATAGCGAGGCTCGGCAAATTATGATCGGTGTTGCAGGCGTAAGAGCCACAGCAGGTTCGATCGACTTGGTCTTCGTAATGTATGGGTGTACACTCTTCAACAAATGCATTTTCAATACTACATAGTCGCTCCGGACAAGCCGAGGGCGAAAACACGGGTGTAGTTTCTCGCAGAAAAAGCACACCTATCAGTCCGACGAGATTAAAGCAATGACCCATCATGAATGGTATCCAGGGGTCCAGATTCATCAGTCCTGAGCCGATAGCACTCGCGATGAAATCGGCGACCATTGTTGTGACGCCCAGCCGCAAGAATACAATTTCTCGTTGAGCGTCTTCCGTCACCTCCGCTACCCTGTTCCAAAGAATGGCGAACAGGAACACGGGGCCACCACCCACAACCCAGCTCAGAGGTGCAAGCCAGATCGCCGGAGCGGGAAAAATGTTAGAATAGTACAACGGTGTTGTCAGCATGATACCATTGAGTAGAAAGCCAGCCACAGTAAGACGGAGGACACGTTTACATCCGAGCTTATCTGCTAGGAGGCTGTATGGAATTGCAAATAGGGCGCCTGCTTATACTTAACATTGTCTTTCTGTAAAGTGAAGATGGGTGCTCTACTCAATAATGAATGGAAGAAGAACCAGTACCCCTCAACAACGGCGAACACCGTCTGCACTTCGGTGATCTTACACAGCTTTTCTGGCACCCGTCCCGAGGGGCCTATCCTGCCTGGATTATGCACTTCCCAGTAGTGTAGACAGACAATTGATTCTATGATACGGCCCAATGGTGGGAGCAACATCCGAATGCCCATTTCAATTGCAAGAAAGATGAAGAATAAAGCAATCAGGGACCCTGAGCAAGGCCACTTTGGTGGATTCTGTTCGTCGATGTCGTCTTTTATACCAGGCATGGCTGTCTCAATTCGGTCATAGTCTCGATCAGCTTGAAGGAATGGAGCAACTTCGGTATGCACATCTTCAATGGGTGATAATATCCAGACAGAGGACATTGTAGTAGATACTGAGACTCCTCGGTATCCCCCCTAACAGATAGGATCTTAAATATTTTGTTGCGCAAATCCACACGAGGTGGGAAGTCAATTGATGTTAGATAAGAGGGTTAGAAGTGATCAGATGATGGGGATGTAACCGTAGCAGTAAGGAGAAATCGCACTGCAAGGGCTCAAGGTTTCTTGCCATTTTATGGTAGGTTGGTATGCCCTGAAACAAGCATAGCGAGAGAAAAAGATAATAATTAACAAGGGGAAACATATGTCTGCAAAAAAACAAAGATATGGTTTCGATATAATAAGCAAAAAAGTAATACTATGAATATTATGGTATAGCCAACACTGACCTTGAAACTGCTCAATAGATTTGGATCACACATTGCAGACGCCAGGAAGACGCAAGAACATCAGAAACAGACAAACCAGGAGCCAAGAATAGCGAATGTCGATACACTGCAGCAACTTCCAGTGCATGGATGTAATTTCTCTGGAGCTAAATGATTTCAATCCTTGTGTCTCTAATTGGAGTAGTACACGCAGGCCCTTGCTCGCACACCGCTATAAATATAAATCTAGGACACCAACTCTATTGCCTAGAAGCTCGGTAAATCGGTTATGAGTCGGACGTGGATGGAGGTGGCAGGAATCACAGCCCTTAATACTGGCAGCATTATTGCTATTAATTGTTTGGTTAGATATGGTGGATAGTGCACGATTCTTTCAATCCATAGAGCCTGAGAAAGCGTCGCTTCTCGCAATTACCGCCACTAGCACGGGGAATACGTTTACACTTAGCACGGGGCACAAACAGCGCAGGCCTGACCGTACGGGCCAATCCCCTACTAATGCGGTGCATAATGAGTGTTGCGGGTTGAGTTGGTTGTGGAAGTAAAGAAACGGAGTTCGACAAGAGCGGGATCGAAGGACGAACTCCGTTCGGGAACAGAAGGATCCATGTTTATGAGTGCTTTTTGTTGCTGTTCTTTCAAATTAACTTGAAATACGAGATTAATTAACTACTAAGTGAACAAGTAAACGATAAACAAATATGCCGACCATAATGAATACCGTTTGACCTCCAAAAGGTCCCATGACCCTTGAAGTGTCGATTCATCTAGTTTGATAAAAATCATACCTACGCCCTCTCTCAGTCAGCCCTCACAACGATCTTTAGAACGGGGCTACTATCTAACCAGGTATGGACACATTCGACAAAATACAATACAAAGCACGTTCTAAACTATTTAAAAGTTACCATTGCCTGTCACTATTAGTCGCCATGTAATAGTGATCCGAATTGCGCTCAACCCAATTTATGACATCTAGAGCGGCAGAACAAGCACTGGCATCATACTCTTTCATACCGTGTCCATACAGCAGGCCATCGACGCCGGATTTCTCCAACAACATATTTGCAAGGTTCCCGGTTTCGGTTGTTGTAGTCCAGGTGAATACCCTAGCGAAGTCGTGCTGCTGATCGCGGATGCAGGACCCTTTCTTCATCTGAGAGAAGATCTTGTACTCATCAATCCCTCTATTAGAACAGTCGCCAAACCCGAGGTCCTAGAATACTGACACGCCTTTGTCCATGACTCTCTTCGCCGTTGGGATAAGCTTCCCCTGACCCTCGAAATTTTTCAAAATCTTTTCGGCGCCAGCAAACGGTCGAATAACACTCACAGCTTCATCAGTGGTTAAAGATTCGCCGATCGATCGGAATGCGACGCTATTATCAGGGTCTGTGAAGGCGTACAGGACGCGAACACCATACAGCTCGAGATACTTTCGGGCCAGATTTTGCAGCGTGGATAGTCTGCAGGCAGGTGAACTCGAGCATCTAGGATTCTTCAGGTCCAGAAAAACAAATCCCATCGTGTCGCTGGCGTTTCTTCTCTGCCCGATGGCTCGGAACATGTCTGCCGCGCTTTGCTTGCCTTCGGGTGATGCACTTGGTGATGAACAGTCGTGGTTCACAAACCACCCCTCCTCATAGGGGCACATGTCCATCTCGATGGCATTTGCGCCATTGCTGAGGGCTATATCAAGGCTTTTGATGTACGAGACCCGGTGTGCAACTGCCCAGAGTGGGGCTCCCTTAGTTGCCGTGGGAGCGTCTAGCTGGTTTATCAGAGGAGTCTGGTCGGGGAAAGAATGAGGAATGCAGGCTACCAGTGGTAGGAACGCTGTGGTAAGAGCCTAGAGACATAGAGTAGAGATTAGCGTCTTTGCTAGGTTACTCGGATTGTTATTACTGTGGTTGTAATTGAAATAGCTATGTATACTGAGTAAGTGACAGTTCTTTATACCTCCAGCATTAACGCTTGCGCCATAACCTGTTGAACTAGTCATACGGATCATGAAGCGTGTACTAGAGTTGTCCTCGGATTTGATATCCATGGAAATGGTTAGAAGGTCTACCCTTGCATGAAGTCATGTATATGGAGTACATGGCTTCATGATTGACGGCGATGTTGAAGACTAGGCGGGGATGCATAGCTACCAAGCGCGAATATTTAAAGTTAAGCTGACAGGCACCCCACAAAACATCTCAGTAACTTTTCCCACAGCCCTAGTACCAACAATCAACGGGAACGATGATCGAAAGTGCAAATGACATAGATCATTGAACCTATGGCCTTGCGTACTGTTATGTGTTGAAGTTCACGCATGGCCCCGCTTGACCCATGATATTGTATGTAACTTACGGTTCACAGCTACAGAAGAATGGGTTGACATATGCTCTATAGCAACCGTACCACGGTCATAAAGCTTGGAAATCCCTGAATAGTTGAGTGTAGTTCAGAGAGTCTGTTTAGAGTTATAGAGTGCAGCGTAGCTTCACACAAAAGCCCATGGATGTATTGCCTGTCTAGCCTATATATAGGTTGTCCCTACACTCTACGGGCTATTGCGGGCAGAATACGGGACACTGCAGACGTAGGATGGTGCAGTTTCCTGCAAAGTCTACGTACAATGTATGTGTCAGAGATCGAATAGCGATTCGGCCTGATGACCGTACAGGATACCCTACCCAGGTGCGTGGACAATCGGCCACTGATGAGGAACATCAGACCACACGACAGATTGGGTTTAAGGGGAATTCTGAATCCTTTAGGCATGGAGCCCCCTGGGTTCATTTCTTTGTTCAGTTTAACCTCACTGCTTAACATTTAGTACAGGGTACAGCTGTAGGCGATCCGGCCGAATATGATAGTATCCGCTCCGCCCTTGGAGGGCCAGCGTCTGGCCGTGAAAGGAATCTGGCCATTGGATCAGCCAAGGGATTCGTGGGCCACGCTGAGGGAGCATCAGATGTTATTTCACTCACTAAGGTCACTATGATGATGATGCAACAACGCTTCATTCCGCTCCAGGCCAGCCACACAAAGATGAACCATAATATTAATGTACGGGAGGATGACATTTTGGAGGTGGTCACTGATCTGCGGTCATGGGATGATGACCACAAGGTTGCCATCATTAACAATTACGGTGCTTGCGGTAGCAATGCGTCCATGATTGTCGCCCAAGCGAAGGAGCCGTCGAGTGGCATATCGAGAAGCCCCGATGAGAACCGTCAATATCCCTTTTGGATTCCTGGTATTGATTCTCGGGCCATCACAGCTTACTGCACGAAACTAGCCTCGTACCTGTCTTCATTACACAAAAGCCCTAACTCGCTGGCTGATATCTCCTTCAATATGAGACGACAGTCTAACCGTGGGCGGAGGGCTACATCTTCACCTGCAGCTCTCTTACTGAGCTTGATCAAAAGTTGCTGCAGGGGGGCGGAGGTTCTGACCTAGACGCTGCTGGTATCACTAAAGTCAAGGCTGAGAGGCCGGTCATTCTGTGCTTTGGCGGCCAGGTTTCACTATTCGTTAGGCTGGACCGTAAGCTTTACGACAGTATAACCATCTTTCGCCAGCATCCGGATCGTGTTGACTCGGTGGTGACGTCTCTAGGTGAACCGAGCATCTTCCCAGACATTTTCTCGCGCGAGCCTGTCCAGAATCCCGTCAAGCTACAAACTATGTTGTTTGCAATGCAGTACGCCTGCGCAAAGAGTTGAGAGGATTGTGGTCTCAGGTCTAGAATTGCAGCAGTTGTTGGCCATTCTTTTGGTGAGATTACTGCTCTATGCGTGGCTGGTGTGTTGAAACTACAAGATACCGTCCGGCTCGTCATAGAGAGGGCCAAGCTGGTGCGCGGTTCGTGGGAACCTGAATCGGGAGCAATGATGGCTGTTGAGGCCGACGAGTCGGTTGTCCACGAGCTTGTACAAGAGGCAAATCGCACCCCTAATTCAGACGGCTCAGTTAGCATTGCGTGCTACAACGGTCCGCGCAGCTTCACGCTAGCTGGAACCACGGCGGCAGTAGACGCAGTACAACTCCTTATCCACGGCAAATTTCCCCATATCAGGAGCAAACGACTCAGTATGACCAACGCATTCCATTCCAAGCTTGTTGAGAAGTTGGCGGAAGGCTTGGGACAGATTGGCAAGGGAATAGAATTCCAACCGCCTGTCGTCCCAATCGAACGCGCCACAGAAGAGGCGAGCAATGGCCAGTTGGATTGGACATATTCCCCAACACATGCGCCGGCCTATCTTTTTCAACCATGCAGTGCAGCGCCTGTCTAAGAAAAATCCGCAAGCTATTTTCTTGAAGGCTGGTTCGAACTCCGCCGTCACCGCTATGGCAGAACGGGCGCTGGCTCAGACTTCACAACGGGACCAACACTTCCAAAGCCTTTCCGTGACAAATTGTGAGCCTGGCTTTGACGGCCTAACAAATGCCACGGCCTCACTGTGGAAACAGGGTCTACGGGTGATGTTTTGGGCTCACCTCCAGCTGCAGTCGCACGACTACACGACATTGGTCTTGCCGCCGTACCAGTTCCACAAATCGTCGTCCTCGCGGCACTGGCTGCCGATATAGTCTCTATTGGAAGAAGTCAAGCAAAGAGCCGCTAAAGTGCTCCTAGAACAAACCGGTTCACTTCCAAGAGAAGCGGAACACAAGAGGCCATTAGCGATGTGGGACTTGTCAGATACTAGGATAGCCGCAAGAAGCATTCCCGTTTCCGTATCAACCCCGAATCGGGCCGTTACATGGAACTGGTTTCGGCCATGTGGTTGCCCACACGGCGTCCATCTGTCCAGCTACGCTCGAATTCGACATAATGATTAAGGTCGTGCTCAGCCTCCATCTTGAATGGAAGGAGGCAGGCACCATGCAGCCCGCCGTGCGTGACATGGTCAACCACTCTCCTATCTGCTTCGATCCGTCGCGTGTCTTCTATCTGGACCTGGTGGCGACTGATCCTGGTCAGGAGTGGAATGCCTGCTTTTTCAGCGTGGAAAATGAATCGGGAAGACATGATATACATGTGGATGCATGTGTGCAAGTGCGTTCGTTGGAAGATCACCAATATACCAAGGAGTTTTCACAGTTGACTCGTTTTGTCGGTCACTCAGGAACTTCTCCATGCCCGCCTGGCCGACGTCGGGGTGGAAATACTGCAGGGCCGGCAGGTGTATCGGGCCTTTGGCATGTTTTTCGACTATTCCGACATCTACCGCGGCGTGCGCTATGTCGTGGGATGCGGAAATGAGTGCGCTGGTGTGGTGCAGCTGGACATGAAGCACCGGCGCAGCGACACATGGCTTGACGCGCCACTAAGCGACTCCTTTGCGCAGATCGGTGGTATGTTGACCAACCTCATGAGTCCGGAGACGTCCACAGCGAACGATGACATTTATATTGCCAAGGGGGTTAAGCTGCTGATGCGGGCACCGAGCCATAAGATGGCCGAGCATGCTGCTGTCGATATGTGGCATGTGCATGCACGCCATGCGCGACAGGGCGAGAGGTCCTACACTACGGACATGTTCATCTTCAATTCATCTTCAATCCCACGACGGGAGAGCTTGTTGAAGTCATGCTGGGCGTACAGTGGGGACGCGTGGCGAAGGCGTCCATGAACCGGATGCTCCGGATGAGGACCAAGGACGAGTCTGTTTTGCGCCTCAAACCTGTGCCTAATGTCCACTCACATCAACTCAAGCCTGCTCCTCGGAATGCTCACATCAACACTACGCCAACAGTCAACTCTTCCGCACAAAAGCCTTCCCCGAAGAGCAAGGCACAGTCTGCGTCATCCTCAGCTCGACGAGATATGACAGATGAAGTGCGCGGCTTGGTAGCCCGTCTAACGGGGATAGAAGCCAGCGAGCTGGAGCTGGACGCCGAGATTACCCACTATGGCAGCGACTCGCTCATGGGAATGGAACTTGGGCGTGAGGGTAAGCGTGCAAAAAGAAAAAAAAAATGCAGAACAAAAGATATGGTTGTTGAAAAGCGCTAATTCTGCCACGTAGTGGAGAGGATGTTCAAATGTACGTTGGATCAGGCCCAGCAGATGGAAGCTACGACGCTGCGCAAGTTTGTCGCATGTGTCGAGAACGCGCTGTTCGGCCAGGATTCTTCTGAGGCTACCGATGAGAGGCACCCACCGACGGAACCAGAAAGGCAATCATCGAACGTGAAGTCCAGAGACATGACGGAGGCGGTCCGTAACCTCGTCGTCACCGTGACAGGGCTGGACCCCAATGAAATGCCACTTGATGCCGAAATCGCAGACTTCTGGATCGACTCTCTTATGGGCAAGGAGCTAGGCCACGAGGTCGAAAGGGTGTTTGCATGCACGCTGGATCAGACTGAGCAGGTCAAGGCCAATACACTGCGCAAGTTCGTCGTGTGCCTCGAGAATGCCGTGTTTAGGGCGAAGAAAGACGTGACGAGAGAAGACGAAGACTAGGAACAATCTGGCGACGATGGGACTTCTCGGGAAACTCATCGGCCGTTGTTCTTGTTGAGCACGACGCAGTTTTTTCAGACTGTTGGCCAGAGTCAAGCGCACTTTTGGCGCCACCGCCGGAGGCGAAGCCAACGACAAGCCCGCTGGCGTTGTCGATGTCGGATATTCTTACGCCGTTTGGCCAAGTAAAGTTAGCCACCGACCAGAGCCTTAGCGGCTATCACCTGGACCAGTTTGAGAGGTCCTTCTTGGCTGATAGCAACCGCCTCTGTACTATCCTGGTCATCGAGGCGTTTGACAAGATTGGGTGCCATCTTCGCACCTCTGCCGCTGGCCAACCACTTAACCGTGTGCGATTCGCCCCTCAGCACACCCGACTCGGACAGTGGTTATACGGATATTTGGAGAGAGATGCGCGGCTGGTCGATACCAACGATAACACCGGGCAGGTGACGCGCACTTGGCTGACAGTGCCGCCTAAGACCAGTCATGCGATGCTGCAGGATCTGCTGTCCCAGCATCCTAACTTTGTCGCGGCCAGCCGGCTGACCTATCACGTCGACCAGGAGCTGGCGTCCATGTTGAGCGGCAAGACAGATGGCCAGAGCGTCCTATTTGGCAGCCCAGATGGTTTAGGGGTGATAGCGGCTCTGTATACCGAGTTTCCCTTCTTCCGCGCTGGCTGCTCCCAGATGTGCGAAATAGTGAAAGGTGTTTTTGACCGCCTTCCTGTCAGCCACCAGGGAGAGACGTTCAAGGTGCTCGAGGTGGGAGCTGGGACCGGAGGACTGACGCACGTCATGGCGTCTCTTTTGGCATCCCTCGACGTGCCAGTCGAGTACACCTTCACGGATGCGTCGCCCCTCATGGTGGCTGACGCTCGCCGCCACTTGGAGCACCAGTACCGCTTTATGCGTTTCGTCGTGCATGACATGGCGAACGTTGCTGACCAAGAGCTGCGTGGACAACATCTGGTGCTGGCCAACACCCCCTTTAACGTGACATCGTTGTCCAACGTACGGCCTGTTTTGCGGTCGGACGGCTTCCTCGTGAATTACAAATGACCCGGTGCCTTACCCTGGGCCTCTATCATCTTTGGCCTGCTCGGGGGCGGCCCCGAGCATGCAGCCGTAACCCCTGAGCATTGGGAACGCGAAATGCACGCCGCCGGCTTTGGTCATGTCGACTGGACCGATGGAAACACGTCGGCCAATGCGTACCAGAAGGTTATCATGGCCATGGCTTCAGGCGACCAGGGTCCACGGCTATCAAAGTCATCAGCCCCAACAAAGGTGACAGGGGTTGACGATGGTGCGCGGACAACGGAGGCAGAGAGACTGGTGCAGCAATATGCCAGTGGCTGGGCCACGCCGCAATTGCTTCGCTTTAAGGCAAAGATGCAAGACAACGACAGAGCACCCAACCGTGGCGCTGTTGTCCTCATGACTAGGGCTACGGGAAGCTTGGGGTCACGTAGGTATTGTGCAAAAGTTGGCGGAAAATCCCTCCGTGGCCCAGGTCGTATGCGTCAACCGCGAGTCCATCAGCGTGTCTGCCCTCAAACAACAGCAAGACGCTTTCCAGGAAAGGAACATTATGTTGAAACCCGCAGCCCGCGCGAAACTTCGTGTACTGGCAACAGACACGGCCAAGCCGTAACTCGGCCTGCCTGTACACGAATACACCTGGCTCGTGCAAAACATCACCCACATTATCCACAATGCCTCCCCAATGAGCTGGACACGCACCGTCTCCGCATTCGCGCCGCAGCTTCAGTCTATGAAGAACCTGTTGGACCTGGCGCGCGACGCGGCCGTAGCGCCTGGCCGCAGCAGGGTCCGAGTCGGCTTTCAGTTTGTCTCGTCAATTGGCGTCGTCGGCAACTCCGGGACCACTGGACGCGTTCTCGAGCGCCGCCTCCCCGTCTCGGCCACGGTGTCTATTGGGTACGCCGAGGCGAAATGGGTCTGCGAGGCGCTTCTCGACGAAACCCTTCACAAGTTCCTAGCCCTGTTTCGTTGGCAGGTGACCCGCCCGGGACAGATTGCGGGCTCGTCGGCGAGTGGGTATTGGAACACTATCGAGCACCTGCCCTTCTTCATCAAGTCTGCCCAGGTCCTGGGTGTCTGGCCCGACCTGGACGGCGTCATGCAGTGGGTGCCCGTCGATCTCAGCGCGGGAGTCGTGGCCGATCTCATCTTGAACCCCAGAGCGTCCCACCCTGTCTACCACGTCGACAACCCAGTCGGCCAGCAATGGAAGGACATGAACTGAGTCTTGGCTGGCGCCTTGGGCATTTCTGAATTGACTAAATTCATCGTCTTGAAAAACTGGGTCAAACGCGTCAGGGCTTCGCCTCTCGTGCCCGAAACAGAGAATCCCGCCGCAAGACCCGGTATGCCGGACTGGCTCGAGACCAACTTTGAACGGATGGCCTGTGGGGGACTGATTTTAGATACTGAACTAGCCAAGGAGCATAGCTGCACCATGGCGAGGGACGTCAGACCTGTCAGTCCTGATATGGTGTCCAAGTTTATGGATTATTGGAGGAAGGTGGGCTTTCTGCATTACCACTCACTAGCTACCTAGCTAGCCTTGAATGCATCGAGAGTCGTAGGATTGTATGTAAAACATCTTCTAGGTTTTTCTGCAAAACCTTAATGTAATTTTCTATCACCACGTATAATCCTTTCTTTAGATACGTCCATGGGCGCAACTTTGGTCGTAGTGGATACCATGGCACTTTTCTCATGGCATGGGCAATAATCCCTCAACTCACTTCATCTGACACACAGAGCTTACTGTTTCTCTAGTACTCACTACACTGGAAGGGTGGGTTTCCCACGCACGTCATGTCTAACAGAAACATCATCGATGGCAACTACAATACAGTATCCTAAATTTCATTTGCGTGCGAGGTGTCGAGGAATTTCCCCACGTTCAAGTAATCCTGTGTTTTGGGGGTAAATAGATGGCAAAAGGCGCGGCCGCGGTTTCGAAGAATGTCAAGCTACTTCGAAGTAATTGTATTAGAGCAGTAACTCCACAAGGAGAAGGGGGCCAGTGGGCGCCTGTAGTATGTGACTGGTACACGCGTTTCTTATGTTATGAAATTGAAACTCCCCTAGGGCGCATCTCGGGAGAAATGAGAAAATATGCGCCTTTATTAATACAGGAAGCTAACCAAGCTTGTGTTTCTTGCGATCCATGAAAAGCGATAGGATGAGACAAAAGCAGCCGGAGGCTATGGACGTGATAAAAACACGACTGATGGCAAACACAATAGCAGCGAGGACTTGCTGTTGCTGGTCGGGATTCAGCGTTTTCAAGAGAGTGCTCCCCGAGCCGGAGGTTAAACTCTGAATCTCCGTCTTGTCTAGGTCGGGAAAATCGTGGCGAATCCTGTTATCGGCTAGGTTCAGAAAGATGGCGTTGGCGATGGACAGTGCGATCGCCAGTCCTCCTCCTCGAGAACACATGATGAATCCCACAGCACTCGATGTCTCCTTGCGTGGAGCCAGCCATTGGGCCACGGCGAATGGAGCATTTAGAAACATGCCGGTGCCAATTCCGTTGAGAATCATGGCTCCGTAGATGTATCCGTTGGACGTCGAGAGATCAATTCGGTAGAGCATGGCGTTGGCGGCGATGACTAGAACAGATCCGGTGACATACCATGGCATGCTGTATCCCAGCCGTGCCATGAGGTGGCCGTTTAACATGGTGAAGACCGCCAGGGAGCCGATGAATGGTAATAACCGTACACCTGCCAGTAGAGAATTGGTGTCCTGCACGAACTGAAAGTATAGCGGGATGAAATAGATGGTCACAAAGGACGACGTCCCCGCAGAGGCTCCCACCAAGAATTGGATCAACAGGCCTCTATTCTTCAGGAAATGAACTGGAAACATTCGATTCTGCCAGTCAGACCAGACTTGATGGATGCTAAGCGCGATGAACAGAACGCCCGCGACCACGAACAGAGCGATCTCTTGGGCGCTGTTCCACGAAAATGTTGTGCCGCCAAATGAGATGGCCATGAGTATAGAGACATACATCCCGATCACGAGAGTGTTTCCTATCCAGTCCACAGCCTTCATTCGGTCCCGGAACTTCATCCCCGGCCGGAGATCACGGGATGGAAGCAAGAAGAAATACGCTGGCGCAAAGGCGCCTCCGATGCAAAGATTGATATAAAAGGCCCATCTCCACGTCGCGGACGCATTGGAGGCAAAAGCCCCTCCAATCACAGGTCCTAGGTTGTAGCAAAGATACCATAGTCAGTAATCCGATTTGGTCTGCTCCCCACTCCCCGCGAAGAGAGCAACTCACACGGTGCCAAAGCCGAATACCACTCCGATGATGCCGATATACTTGGGTCGTTCCACAGGTGTCGTGAACAGAGACAGCATCATCATGACTCCCAAGTACATTCCTCCGCCGCCAAGGCCCCCCAGAGCACGTCCGATAATGAGGGCATCCATGTTGGGCGCCGCCCCGCATATGGCCGAACCGATCTAGAAAATCACCACGCAGAGCACATAGATCCATTTTGGATTAAATTGGCTATATATTCGCCCCCTAAGCACATTCGTTGGCAGTTAATTTCAAGGAACTTCGCTGAAAACGGTTCGGATTGATGCCAATGCTTACCAGAGCAGATTAGTGCTCGCAGTTCCGAGAAGAAATGACACCGACAGCCAAGGTAATTTAGAAATTGACTTAAACTCGGCGATAATATTTGGCTGAACATCCGCGACAATAGTCTGATCCAGCGCGAATAAGAACACGCTGGACAAGATGGCAGTCACTACAAACGCGTATGATCAGGAACCATACCCAAACTTGGGAGTTATGGATCATGCGAATCCTCTCTCTAGCTTACCAGCGAACGCCCACTTGATCCCGTGGATATCTCGTGGGGAAGGGGGTTCAGATGTGTCCAGGGGTAAGGGTTGTATGCGATCGGTGCTTGCGACGTTGTTGGGGGCCCTGTCTTGGTCGGTATGAACCTCTAGGCCTCGAGAGCTTTGTCGCGAATCGACCTTGCCCATCACGGCTATTCGAGGCTGCATTTCAGTGTCGGTAACAGTAGTTTGCGACATTGTGTTGGATTGAGGTGAACAAGGTAGCTGCTGTACTCCTTGTCACCAGATAGGCAAGTATTAATCTCAACATTGTGGTGATTAAGATAGCAGGTAACATTATTATAGATGGCCACTAACACTTAATTAGTATATTCTGACAGCAGACAGAGATTGCAAACAACAAAGGTTAGTTTAAAAACATAGCAATGCAGGAAAGACTTACCGGAACAGTTATTATACAGCATGTGCTCAAAGTGTACAGACTTAACAGTGGTGGTGCCAAAGGTCTGGCACTTGTTGAGTTTGTCACCATACCGTACAGGGGCTCTGGGATTTTGGTGGGTGTTGTAGGATCGGATCAACAGTGAATAAAGTAGAGTTGTGCCACAGGCAGGATTCGGTCTAGGCCTTTGACACTACCACTCAATGAGGTAGGTGAATTTATTTGGAAAGGAACACTCCTTGACAGCTATGTAATTCACTGACCTTGATAAGGAAGAATAAATAGCAGGTCAACATGCATAGATACAAGGTTTCAGTAGCAAGATTATCCATTTTAGAAAGAACCAATAGCATGATGAACTAATACTTTTAGCTCACAGTAAGGACCACTTGCTAGATTCAAATATTGAATAATGAGACACTGCAAGAGTTTCAAATAATATGGTCAGAGCCTTCCACAGAAATGTACTAGTGGTAAGGCCACAAATCCTCAAGATAAGCATCTAATAAACAACTTTTGGAACACCCGGGGTTGTCCAGCACACTTTATGCATAAATTCCTCCTGCGTGAACACTTTCATCAACCCCTCCCTGTCCTCGGTGAAATGGGCCCATGACTCGAAATGGATTGGAATCATAACATCAGCGCCGATCTCACGCATGAGTTGAACAGCTTGTTTTCCATCCATCGTGATCTGAAGAGGACCGGTTGGAAAATGGAATGTTGCATTACCCAGATTAAGAAGCGCAGCAGTGATATGCCATTTGTTCCCAATTTCTTTCAGCTCGTCAATGTAGACAGTATCTCCGGAGAAGTAGATTGCATTGGGCTTTCCGGAGGCATGGATACCGAAGGAATCCGCCTCTAGAATAAAACCAGTTACCTCTCCACCTGGGAAATGCTTGCAGGGCGTCCCAGTGATTCGAAAAACCTTTCCTCCAATGTTGGAAATCACAGTCTCCCAGGGGCGGAGGCCAACAACTCCGGGTCGAGGACGGAGATTAGATGCACCGTCCATTGTGGTGAAAACTTTCCGGCCATCAAGCAATTTACGACCTTCTGGGTCTAGATTATCAAGGTGATCTTCATGGCTCAGAAGCACCGCGTCAATTGGTGGCAGGTCATGGAGCTGTAGTGCTGCGCCTTGACGATTGATAAGGTGTGGTGGTGGCGGTATATTTTCAAAGCCAAACGCCTTCAAATCCACTTTCTCCCAAGCTGGAGTTGTATCATATTCGGTCCCTTCGGTTGCTCCAAAGTAAGGATCTGTCAAAAAATTGATACCATCGATGTTCAGGATGGCAGTCGCAGTGGTGATATGGGTGACGGTGAGACTGGTATTAGGTACAGATACCATTCTTGCAACTGGAGGCGACTGAGATATAGGATAGACAAGAAAAACTTTCCGATGGGCAGAGAGAATTTAAAAGTATAGAGATTGGATGGGCCTTTGCTTATTCTCGTTTTTATGAAAGGCTTGGTCTGGATCAATAGACAAACAAGAAGAGGTCAGTCATATGGTTTAAGTAATTTTCGGGGGAGTAGTGAATTTTAAACTTTTGTACATGTAATCGACTTCTGCTTACTATAGAATTTTTAAGTCATCGGATTATCCCACTTGGAGCTCTAAAGATTTGACTGTCATGGTCAGTGAAAAAGATATTCTTCATCAGGTCCATTATCTAATTATTGGATTTGTTATTCAGTTATCCATGGAAGCATATGACGTAAGCGGGATACCGATGCACTCGGACACTCCCTCTCGGCATCCCACCTAGTGTTTGCATAAACCAAAAGGTCAGTAGCAACCAGAACATTCCTCCTGATTGTCCTCAAACTTTGTTACTCACAGATTATGGTGCAAGATACCTAACATCTGTTTTTATCTCTTTTCTATAGACATCTATTTCTTTTGTCGATTATCACACCTAGCTCCAAAACAGGCGGGTCAAACACTCTGATTCATTCTCCAAAGTTTGTGCTAGTCAGTGGAGGGTTTGTATGTATCCCACTATAGCCTGAAATGTCCGACTCAGTGGTGGAATTAGCAAAGGCCTATCCATCTCTGGACTAGTGGGCCTGCCGGAGAAAGAATTAATGAGTATTGAACCGGGAGCCCAAATTGAATCTGAGTGCAGAATAGCATCATTCTGAGGTGTTTGTTATACCAAGGTCTGTAAATTAGAAATATATCAACCATTTTGAGCTACAAGACAAATCTTCACAGTTGGTGCTAAAACTAGATATCCGCTGATCATTCCTGAGAACCGACCAGCATTATACAATGTGTGCTAGATTGAGAGTATCCTAGAAAATTCCAAGAGCTCGGCGGTAGCGAGACAACTAAGGGGAAAATGGAAGAAACAGAACTGTCCCTTAATATGTGGTTGCCTACCGAGTCATTTCTGAAGGTAAGCTCAGTTTTCCTTCCACATAGTGCTCAAAGAGGCCATTTGGTTTACTGTTAAGACTTAAACGTGAGAAATATCATACATTATCTCAGACAAGGCAAAGGCCAGGCTGGGGACGGATCACAGCAAGGATGGAAAATTGTCTTATTGGTGGAGATGTCTGCAAGGGTGGAATTGCTGGGGGAGGAACAATAGAAGATAATTATAAAATATACAACAGTCTTTATATTTTGGACAGTGCACACGGGCTGTTCACGGGGCTGATATGAAAACAGTTTTGAAGATACAACTGTCAACAGGAATAATTGGCTCCCAATGCGCCAACGATACTATGACTGACTATATCCACTCGAAGGCAACGCCTGTGTCATGCAGAACGGTCGACGTTTGAGAGATCCAACCCTTCGAATCTCGATTATCTCTCAAGTTTGTTTGTGAAGCAACCTTCTGAAGTATCTCAGATCCCATACTAAATGGAGCATTCCACACCTCATCGCTATCCGGCAGGCAGAACAACAAGTCATGCAAGCCCAACAACTCACACTCCGCACCATTGATGTCTCCACCAGCTGAGTCAGACCGAGTGCACATCCGGCACACCTTATAGAGTGCCAATCCAAATCGTTTGATCTCTTCCACATTCACCCAAACAAGTGCTAGTGGCGCAGTAGGACCGTGCTGTGCAAGCATATTTGGGTAGGTAAACATACCCAGTCGCCGACAGCTTTGGACAAGACGCACTAGTAGTTCGTATTCGTCAGGTTGGAGTCGGTATCGGAAGCTTAAATCAGGAATCGTCTGCTCTTTAGCATTTAATAGTGCAAAAATAACCTGCAGGAGCACACTCTGGTATGTCGCCATAGGCCAGCATGTACTAGTGTTTTGGAGCGACCTTGATTCAGGTATAAACCATTGGTCCTGTGATGCACGGGCGAGTTCAGTTTGGAGTCAAGATCTCAAAAGGATACCGCAATTTCTCACCATCTGAGCACGAATCGCAGTACATAGTTTATGATGGAGATCCACTGCTGCGTCCCGCGCGTTTTGACCTCCTTCAATCCACAAGCCAATCATGACAATAGATTGGATAAGTATACAAGGCTCCTTAGATAAATCAAACGTACCTTGGTGAATGAATGGCCACACCGGATGAAAACTTTTAAAGTAGATATCGACGTAGTCATGAGCGACCCATCGAGATACGTCGGAAGTCGAATTAGATATGTTGGACTTAGGTAGTGCGGAGCCAACTTGTATGTCGGGTGGCCTCTGCAAGTCGCTAATACTCTTATTGAGATTGCATCCGTCACGTGCGTTTCCATTCTCAGTAAGTGAGCAGGTAACGCCTCGTCGCTGGCATGCATTGCAAGGCGATCCACCATTACAGCGTGTTTTCCGGATATGACAAGTGCTGCATGCCTTCCGGGTTCGAGACGGGAGTGGTTGTTTCCCTGGATGGTAATTCCAGATGTGCCGGCGTAAGAGATCGCTGAATATTAGTTAGCTTGTATACAGTAAATGTAGAAATATATCTCAGCATCCCTTCTTGTCAATGTACTCTTGCAATACGGGCAAGAAAAGCGATCTCCTTGCGCATGGTTGGCAACATGTCGATTCAGGTGTTCTTTGCGTCGATACTGTGCCCTGCATTCTGGGTAACTACATTGGAACGGTGGGCCCAAAGGATCAGAGGATGTGTGTGGTGGCATTTTGTGCGGATACTGGGAGTGTGTTTTTCGATTATACTTTGCTAATGTTGAGAGAAGTCGATGGGGGAGTGGCGAGATCCCGGCTGCTAGCGGATTACTGTAGCGTATAATAGCCGAGTTTATGTTGGCCCCACAAGGTTATCGGCATCCCGCTCGGCGGTATACATGGATGACAAAACAGCCTCTGTATTTTTGGTCCCTTATATATAGCGAAGCTGGGCTTTTCACCGTTACTTTTCCCAGTTGTATGTTGAAGCCAATTTTTTTTTCTAGTAACGCAGTTCTCCACTATGAATTCTCTTGAACATCGCGACCCAGCAAGAGCTTGGGTGGATGAGTTTGGCTTAACACGGAGCTATAGTACGGGTGCCGAGGGCTACACTATTCCAAATCTTGAGCCTACAGTTTCCAAGTTACCCAGCATCCTGAACCCTCCTGAACTCGAAGTCTACTGGGAGCCTCAAGATAGCCAGAATCCTCGTTTGTGGCCGCTATGGTATAAAGGCCTCACTGTTATGACAATGAGTCTTGGCGCAACCGTTGTTAGTCTCTTCAGCACTCTCTACACATCAGGAATCCCAGGGCTGCAAGAAGAATTTCATATATCTAAAATCGTGGCCCTTCTTGGTATCACCACCTACCTCCTCGGCATGGCTACAGGATCTATCATTTTCGCCCCGCTAAGTGAAGTTGTGGGTAGACGACCTGTTTATATTGTCTCTATGACAATATTCCTCTCCCTCATACTGCCGAGCGCCCTAGCCTCAAATATAAGATCAATTCTCGTGAGTCGGTTCTTTGGAGGCTTCTTTGGAAGTGCCATGATGTCAAACTCTCCTGCGTCTGTCAATGATATTGTCTCCGACAAGCACCGGGCATTAGCATTTGGCTTCTGGTCCATTGGTCCTACGAATGGCCCTGTTTATGGACCAATTATCGGTGGCTTTATTTTTGAATATTTAGGCTGGCGATGGACAAATTGGATTGTCCTCATCATTGGAGGCTTTGTCTTGATGTTGATGGCTTCTATCAAAGAAACATATGCTCCTGTTATTTTGAGGAAACGAGCAGAAAAACAACGAAAGGAAACACAAAATCCAAAATGGTGGACCCGCTACGATGGTGGGCAAGACTTGAAGGCATTGCTTAGCACTAGTCTCAGTCGGCCGTTTGTGATGATCATAACAGAGCCGATATGGTACAAACCCCATTCCCGCCCCTTTCACTGCAACCACACTCAGCCAAGCTTATACAGAATCTTAAGCTAATAGCTATTATAGTATGTTCTGGGATACCTATGTCGCGATTGTATACGCTGTCCTCTACCTTTGTTTCGTGGCCTATCCGATTGCCTTCCAGCAAGAACGTGGATGGTCGCCAGGAATCGGCGGTCTTTCATTTATTGGCATAGGGGTTGGCGTACTGCTTGCCATTGCATTTGAGCCTCTTTTCCGCAAAGTAATCAATCTTCACCGCAAAGATCCAGAAACAGGTGCAGTGCCACCTGAGGCTATGGTTAGTATTGTTTGTTTTGGTGCAACTCTTCTAGCTATTGGTCAGTTATGGTTCGCCTGGACTTGCACCCCTAATGTTCACTGGATCGCACCTATCCTTGCTGGCGTTCCTTTTGGTGCGGGGAACGCGTGTGTCTTTATCTATGCAAATAACTATATGGCCCGTTCCTATGGGATCTACGCAGCCTCTGCACTTGCTGGTAATATGGTTTTGCGCAGCATTATGGGTGCATGCCTCCCGCTTGCAGGACCATCAATGTACGGAACACTTGGTTTGAACTGGGCAAGTACTCTTCTGGGAATCGTGGAAGCAGTATGCATCTTGATCCCAATTGGGTTTTATTTCTACGGTCATAAAATTCGTAACGCCAGTCCGCTTATCAAAGAGATGGAAAGACACCAGGTCTCAAGATGAGACACAAGTTGGAGCGGTGGCTCCATTGCTTAGATCGAAGGATCTCTAGTGGGCTCATGGGATATGTCCACTGGCGGAAGAATGCGCTTGTATGCAAACTGGCCATGTAAAATATGTGGTGTCACTAAAAGCTCAATTACCATTTAAAATAGCAACCTATATTGTGGTTACGGAATATATAACATAAAATAATTTAATGTAACCCGCGATTAGGGCTCCGGAAAGAAGACAAGTGTGTAAACAGTTGCAGCATTTTTGCAATCAGATGTAGAGAAGAACCGGACGCCAGGGCCACTAGGCGCCGCGGCCGTGACACTTGATAAAGATCTAGAAATCACTGGATTCCGACAGACCCAAGTCGGGCCTATGAACTAGTGGTCGGTCCACGCCGCCGAACTGATCGGCATATTCCATGCAATCAACTTAGTGGTTAAACTTGCTCATCAAACCCGAAGAACAACAACGAGATATCTGCTATCGGCTACAATCCTTTGCGACACCATATCTGCTCTGCAAGCGGTTCAAAACACCAAGGAATAAACAATGAAAACGAATCATCTATGCTAACCTTCAGGCAGCCACAGAAGCCAGAGCAAGAGGGGTCGCACTCCGTCTTCAGTGGATACTAGAGCATTGCGACAATCCGGGAAACAACGCAGCAGATCGATTGGCCGAGGAAGCGGCAATTCCAGGCAAAACACACCCATTTCGACTCCTCTTACCAAGAGAGAGGACATTCATTCGTAACCACGTCCGTTGCCAGTGAGGAAGACATCAAGAAAGGGAGTCATCTTCGCAAGATGGACAGTACACTAACTGCCACTTTTACAAGACGGCTGAACGGTCCACTACGAAGAAATCGGGCTTACCTGCTGATACAAATGCGGGCGGGCCACTCCTGGCTATCAACATATGGGAAGACCTTCGGGTTTCGGGAGGACGATCAGTGGGCATATGGCGCACAGGAAACAGCAGTCCATGTCTTGGTAGACTGCCCACTGTTAAAGATACCTCGCCAAGAGCTTCGAAAGAAAGTCAGAGACACGTTTAATAGCGTATTAGTACTTCTAGGAGGCAGTGAAGGTAAGAAAGGCAAGTAGATACTGCCTCGCGCGCCAGTACAATTGAAGCAGTGCTGGACTTTGCAAAGGCGTCACAACGGTACCGAATTCGCAGCCTAACGGGGAGAACGGCAATTAGGCCATGATAGGCCGTGACGAGGCTCTAAGTTCATTTTCAGGAAGTGCAGGAAGTGGCACAGTCTACATGTACATACAAGAATATATATAGTTGTGGTAGCCTGCATATCGCTTTAAAAATTTGCGAGGGGTCAGGGTAAATGAAATCATCCATCCAGGTGTAGAGAAGAAACAAAGTGAGATCAAATTGACACTTATAAACTCGACGAGTGCCGTAAGTCTTGACAATGGAGGATTGACTTCTTAAACTGTGGGGTCTGTTACCGTAGAAGGTGAAAACTGATGTATGCAGGTTTAATAATGACTATATCTCCTGGTATATGAACAAAGAAATATAAGGTCATATGCCATGCTTAGCACTAACCGAAGTAGTCGCTATGCTCCTTGTCATTGGATAGGCAAGTATTAATCTCGACATTGTGGCGATTACAGTGGCAGGTAACATCATTATAGATGGCCACTAGGATTTAATTAGTATGTGCTGACAGCAGATAGAGATTGCAAAGAATAAAGGATAGTTTAGAAATGTAGCAATGCAGGAAAGACTTACCAGTAGAGTCATTACACAGCATGTGCTCAAAGCACACAGAATTAACAGTAGTGTGCCAAAGGTCTGGCATTTGTTGAGTTTTTATCATAGGTTCCCATCTTGCCTTGATTCTGCTCAAAACAGCCGGGTTCGCTGTAGATACGCAGCTGGACGTAACGGGAGTCATCCTGAGGGGCGGGATCCGCGAAAATACCTATAGCAAGAGCGATGGTAGAGGCAAGGCCGGTGTTGAAGAGCATTTTGATGGTTGTTATGTGATAGTTGAGAGTTAGGATAAGGTATGGTTTGTGTTCGTTATGAAATTTGAGGGGTTGTGGTGTTGTGATTGTTGATTAGCTTACGTTTTTCAGGATGAAGTAACTCCAGGTCGTGTGTACTATGTGCCAGGTGTCTAGGCACTGGTGTCACTTGTTACACTCTTTAATAGTTTTAACAACCTTATGGTGAAACTAGACTTAGTGACTTTGAAATATTTAACTGCAATATTGTTTGTCTGTGTATGTACTGTAAAATTCCTCAACATATATCTAAACCTTGTGTATTTTACCGAACCAAAAGTGGACAGGCAGGTCCAGTGGCTCAACAGATGCAAGCTCAAGAAGAGCGATATAGCCTGGGATTACTCAAAGTTGATTCATAGTGATATTTTCCGAATTTACCTACCGAGGAACTGCACTCTTACTGAACGGCCTCCTTATTAAAAGCCGAGGGATGATACTCGTCCTGTCCTAGTATTTACTACGGTAGCTGGAAGGAAAGTGGCTGTGTGGCAATCTCTTGCCTCTTGAGATCTTGTATGAGGAATATAATTGGTCAATAACGGTCGTTATATCCCTGCTGTTTAGCTGCGCCAATGCATCAAAAAGGCGTGGTGCCGGTTGTAGATAGAAAAGAATAATAGCACCCGGTTTCATCTTCCCCCTAGAAGTCTCAACAGCCGATAGCTTTGATGTATTGTGAATAGTTAAAAATAGACCGGCTCTGAAAAGGCTTATTATATAATCTATTTCATAGACATAAGGGCGCTGGTAATGTGCAAACCCGATAAATTAAGTAAAGATCCAAGAAAACGGCAGGACCAATATTCTACTACCAATTTCTCCCAGCAAGTCTAGACTAACTGTGTACGGTTTCGGGGAGCATAAGACACCCAGGCCGTTCGTCGCTACCTGCGAAAAATTTATCTACACTGAAAACCTCGTGCATATCGATGAGCTTGTGCCGCATGCTGACAGTGTTGGCGTGGGAGGAGATCATCCATCAGCCCTGCAGGCTCAAAATGATAGCGGTTTAGCAAGTCTGCTGCGGACGAAGGTAGAAGCAGTCTCCGATGGCGATGGCTGGGCTGGGCTCTCTAAAGTTGGCCAGCCACTCACCAAAAGATACCCCGACTTTGACCCTCGTACCTACGGATACCATAAGCTCAGCGATCTCATCGCTGCCTCGCCTTCTTATAAACTGCCCGCCGCTCCCTTGGGAAGGGCTTATCCGCGGACATTTTCGTATGCGACAAGCGTTGGAAGCCTAAGGATCCTGCTAAATAGGTGTTTATATGAGTTGTTACTTCCTCTTTGCCTTTTGTCTGGTCCATTGGCGATCGAAAGATAATCTATATTGTATCTTTTTACTGTTGCCTTCTCTTTACAGGATCCGATGAAATTTACGTATATTTCCGCACACCCCCTCCCTTGACTTTTCATGAGTTATCGAAACGACCCGGAAAGTAATAGTTCACCCAAAAACAGATATATGAGATAGTGAGTAGCATTAACGACATTAAATCAATTGCCAAATAGTGGTTCTGAGAATCGCTACTAACCTCTGTACAGGATAATAAATGGCAATGCCGGTACGGGGGTCCCTGTCGTAGCCGATGATAAGAAAAAGGTCTTGTAGAATCCACCTTGCATATCCGCCTAAAAAAATTAGTTATAAGCCACCATACACAAGCCTGGGCGCAGATTCGTATTTTCAAGTGGTAGATCAACTTAAGGCGAGGGGTCGGGGCCCGAAGCATAATAACAACCACGGTAATGTTTGTACTCGCATAGCGATAGCTAAGGAAACCAAACGCACAAAGCAAGCGATTCTCCTGTTCGAGAGCCGGATTTGGAGGGTGAGAATACAGGGAGAGGGAAAGACCCGTAGTATTGACGGTCGTAGGCGATAGCAGAGGAGAACGGGACACGACAGACGTCCAGGTATCCTTCTACTCGAAGCCGCGGAGAGAGAGAGAGAGGGAGACCTGATGAAGAGGGGAAGCCTGTAGCACTGGCAATCGTACATTAACAACTGGGAGATCTCGCACGGCAAGTTCCAGCTATCCTTTTGCATGGGTTGTAGAAAGAATCAGCCGTCGCCTTTTGGATGCTGCTGTAGACCTGGTGTCACAATTCGTTGACTCTGCGTCTAAGACCCTAAATGTCTCTACCACATGCGATCAAAGCCTCGCTGGCTGTGAAGATTCAGGACTCTTTAAAGACTGGTAAGTAGCTCCAGACGAGCCACGCCATACCATCGCGTGCGAATTATTATATGGGTAATATCCAATAGGCAAAGACTTCCACATTAGTGGCCATAGAAGACTGTCGGGCCTAAGGATATCGCCTTGTACCTGACCATCATCGAGGCGTAGTGTCACGAAGATTCGCGTGAAGGGAAAGGCGGTTCGAGATGAACTGGCATTGTAGAAATGATGATGGGAAGTCTTCTAAAGAAGTAAAGAGAATTTTAGTATCTACATGTGACACATAGCATCCCTAAGTGAGTCAGGGAATATATTCATCACAGTGAAACAAAAAGATCCGCACTGGATTGCCGTACAGCTCCTGCTCCTGGTCCGCCCCAAAACGCTGCAAAACCTGTGCGACAGCCGCCTTACTGGACCCATATCCAACCCGGCACGTGGTATGCACCTGCGCCGCGGCGGAGAAGATGTTGATGATCGTCTTTTGACCCGAGGCTGGAAGGGGCGCCTCGAGGTAAGCTCTTGTTCGGTGATGGCTGTTGCCTTCTCGCGTCGGTGGATGACTGCGGCGCCGAGAACCAAGACGTCGACGGGGCCCAGCTCGTGCAGGATTTCGGTCATCCGGACGCTGTCTGTGACAGAGGCCTGGAAGAGTACGACCCGGACGGACGGATAGGTAGCTTCGAGGGCGGTTTTGGCTTGTTCCTGCGGAATGGCAGACCGCGAGACGATGGTGATACAGGCGACGCCTGCTGCTGCAAAGGCCTTGGAAATGCTAAAGCCGACGCCGCTTGCGCCGCCTGTTATGTGTATCACCTTGCCTTGACCGTTAAAGCCGTGGTGCTTGGCAATGCGATCGTAGGTTCTGGAGTGGTATATTTTGGTTGGGGGGGCTGGGCTTCGAATAGAGACATCTTGTCGTGTTAGGGTTGTCCTTTTTGATGCGAAGCAGATGAGAATGTCAAACCTATATTCAGGTCAGTATAGTTCCTTCTTCAGAAACATGTTCCCACTCTGCTGGGCCTAGGGGATTGCAGGGCATTCGGTTGGTTTCTCACATATGCCGCGCTGATTTACACACAATGATTCAGTCACCGTTATTAATTGAACTAGAGGCAAGGGAATCCGATGGAGAAAGCGAAATCAGATTGACTGTCTTTCAGCAACTATGGCGAAGGAAAGGGAAGAACAGTCTACGGTGTAGATGTGGTAAGAGCTTGAAGAAAACTCCGGGATCATCGTTATTGCGAGTGAAGACGGAGGATTTCGGTAATAGGCTTGGACGGTCCAGTATAGACACTTTTTGAAGCATAATACAGGTGTAGGATCGAAAGATAGAGGAAAGAGGAGGTTGGCATGACACAAACAGTCTATTCTTCCATAGTACAATAACTCAAATACCTGTCAAACCGAAGAGGAGATGCCTATATTGGCCACTAGTGTACAGCACGCTCATTCATCACTGGACATGTTCCAATCTCACGCTTTCTCAGTCGTCTCCTTCTCGACGTTCTTTGCCTCTTTCTCTCCGTTCTCTGCAGAGATCTTTCCTGCCGGCTTCTTTACGCTCCTCCACTCGAGGGACACAGCCCCGAGGACACTCAGACATGTCGGGATCAAACCGACACGGAACACATCTCTCAGCGCCTCATTATATGCAACAAGAGCGGTATTACGCACATCATCCGGGAGCGATTGGAGCAAAGAAGTGGCGCCGCCGGAGATGATCATACTGGCATCAACCCCTTTGACCCCGGCCAACCTCTTCACCAGCTGATTGGCGAGAACATTCTCTCCAGCCGATACGAACACCGACGCCCCCAACAGAGTGACGAACAACATCAGCGCTAACCCGGTAGGTACGTCCGTCTTCGGCAGACTGGCCTGTGTCGCTAGGTTGGGTACCTGGAATGACAAGCCCAGGCCGAGACCGTATAGAATCTGGTACCCGATCCATTTCCCCGCGCTGGCATCCACCTTGAACGTGGTGAGCAGCCCGTTTCCCACGCACATGAGGCATGTCCCGACGATGGCGAGTGGTGTATAGTATCCGATTTTGGTGTTTAGGGTGCCACCGCTTATGGACCCGGCTACCATGGAGATCATCAGGGGGAGCGTGCGAATGCCGGACTCGGAAGCAGATGCTCCTTTGATCGATTGGAACCAGATCGGGAGGAAGTAGACTACCATTTGGTTAGCTCTTGCGTTTGGAAGAGGTACGTCGCGGGGCTTTTACTGATGATATAGTTTCCACAGTTGATGGTCAGGGTTGTCCAGCACGCCGCCACTACACTACGCTGCTTCAAGATCCGTGGAGGCAGAGTGGCGGTTCTCGGGAGGAGGACTTGGACGGCAGAAAAGCCGACCAAGAGGACGCCGGCCAGAGTCAACAAGGCGATCACCCGCCCGTTATTCCACTAGAGATGGTCAGGTACGAATCAAGCACGTCTAGGAGGGCCCGCTCACCGAGTAGGTCTGTCCGCCCCATTGTAATGCCAGGAGAAGGCAGACGGTGCCCGGGACCAGGAGGATGGTCCCGGGGATATCCAGTTGCTTGATCTTCTCGGACAAGGGGGCCTGGGCGGTAGGCTGGTCGGGTATCTTCAAAAAGACCAGGATAACGAGCATGGCCACGCCTCCTACAGGTAAATTGATGTAGAAACACCATCTCCAGGTGACGCTCGAAGTGAAACCACCGCCGATCAACGGGCCCACGATCGAAGAAACCCCCATCAGGGCACCGAACATGCCTTGGACCTGGGGACGCTTATGGAGAGGGACAACATGAATGATGCAGACCACCTGGAGAAACCATGATTAACGCGATTAGTGGATATGGTGATAAGGGGATATCCGCCTACCACACCGGCAAAGATTCCAGCCGCACCAACACCGCAGATGGCTCGTCCCACGATCAGAGCGGTCGAGTTGGGAGCCGCTCCACTCAGGGCGGAAGACGCTTCGAAGATCAGAATACTCCATAGGAGGGTCCATTTGACCGAGAAGAGCGTATAGATCTTTCCGAAGATCAACTGCAACGCGCAGCAGGTCAACAGATAAGCGCTCCCGTACCAGCCCACGCTTGTAAGAGAATGGAATTCGTCTGTGATTCGGGGGATGGCCTCGAAAGTCGTTAGCAGAGGGCCGCTAAGATGGTCCTTGTGCAAATTCATACCGTGGCGAGGATGGTTCTGTCTAGCGCGACGAGGAACATACTCAGGAGCACCGAGATGATCACAATGACCGTCGTCGTTGTCCTGTCGGGCTCGGGAGTCTTAGGCTGGGTCGGTGCATCTGGTGACGTTTCGGCGACTTGCGCCGAGTAATGAGTTTCTGGAGGCATGGCGATGGACTTTTGTGGACTAACAGTCCGATACGGTACATGAGATGCGGATGGAGACTCAGGGCAATATAAATATCTATCATCGGGCGTAGACCAATAAGTGCGGGAAGTGGCAAGAGACCCCCTTTCCGGGCATTAGTTGGTCCCGAGGAGCCACAGATAATCTGGGATGTCCATCCTGCATAGTAACCTATGATCCTATCTGGGGTGTTGTCCAATATTCAGAGTCGCCGTCATGCGTGATCCCACGGAGGATAGTTCGGGAGATAGAATATGCCGAATACTTAGCCGCGGTCCATGCAAAAGGCCGATGTAACCTCCGGCCACCCCCATGTTTCTTCTGCATCTCTGTTTCTCCTCATCATCCTCGTCCCATCGCATCGCATCTCGTCGCATTCATCATGTCGACAGACCATTCGGCAAGGTCCCCCCGGCTCCGGGCTTGTGTGAGGTGTCAACAGCGAAAAGTCAGGTGCGACCACAAATCTCCCTGTGGGAATTGTGTCGCATCTGACACGCAGTGTGTCCCTGCAACGCTCACTCCGCGCCGTCGCCGATTCCAAGAGCGAGTGCTACTAGACCGTCTGCGCCACTACGAAGGCCTACTTCGCCAGCATAACATTGATTTCGAACCCCTGCATCCGCAAGCCAAGCAGGAGCCTGTCGTCACTGATGTCTCTCGGGGCTGTGAACGGTCAGAAACGGCGAGGGCACAGACCCCTGTCCCGTCGCAGGCAGTGTTCGACACCTGGTCAACCCAACTTTACTACAGGAAGTAGCTAATTCTTTTTATAGTGACCTCTGGCAGGCCATTAGCCGAGTGGTAAGCTTGATTCCAAGTTGTCGTCGTTAAGGCAGCCGTTAACCCTAGGGAAGACACTTGAACCCGAAGATGACGACGGCGACAGTCCAGACGTGCAGGCCGACGGGGTAAAAAACGCCTGGGACCACCACATCGACCAGCCGGAAGCGAACGACCAGACCGGCGATGATCTTCTTTTTGGTCTACCACAAGCTAATGTGAATGTTCTCGCCTTGCATCCCGAACAAGCCCAGATCTTTAGGCTCTGGCAGACGTATCTGGAAAACGTCAATCCCTTGCTGAAAGTGACCCATACGCCGACGCTGCAACCACGGATTGTCGACGCGGTCAGCGATCTTGGGGATATCCATCCCGCCTTGGAGGCACTCATGTTTAGCATCTACTGCATCGCGGTCATGAGTCTGACCGATAACGAATGTCATCGGCTGCTCAAATCGTCCAAGGAAGATCTGCTGGCGCGCTACCGGTTGGGGTGTCGGCAATTATTGATCAAGTGTCGGCTGTGGCAGTATACCAATGTCGATGGCTTGACCGCAGTGTACCTCTACTTGGTATGCGGTCTATCCGTGTTCAGATGAGACAAGAAATACCACATATAGTAACGGTTTCAGGTCTCCGTTTCGCCGCAGACAGACCCGCGCTCGCTCTCCTCTATGCTGGCCGCCGCCCTCCGGATTGCACAACGGATGGGGCTCCACAACGAGTCGACATACACTCGATATACTACCGTGGAGGCCGAGATGCGCCGAAGACTCTGGTGGTCTATGGTGATTTTCGATCATCGCATGTGCGAGATGTCCGACCACAAGGTCACCACCTTGACACCCACTTGGGACTGCCGGATTCCGTTAAACGTCAATGACTTTGAGATTCGACCCGACACCAGTTCCTCCCCCCCCAACAGCGAGAAGCCGACGGAGGCACTATTCGCGGTCGTTCGTAGTGAGCTCGCCGACCTGATCCGCCATACCACCTTTCACATCAATTTTGTCAACCCGGTACTGGCGGCTGTGGCTAAGGCAAAGGATCCTCGCCACATGTCCATTTCTACAGACGGTGAGATGTTGACTATACAGAAGGCAATCGAGGAAAAATACCTCGCTTTTTGCGACCCCGCTGACCCGCTCCACTATATGACAATCTGGACGACGCGCGGTTACCTGGCGAGAAACCGCCTGCTGGAGCACTACGCGCGGCACTTGACGTCGCCAGTGATGCAGCAGACAGACGCGCAGCGCAACGCTGCCCTATTCTACGCTTTGGAGATGCTGCAGTGCGATACAAGACTGCGACTCTCCCCTTTGACCAGTCGGTACCGGTGGCTCGTAGATTTCCATGTCCCAGCCCTGGCGTACATCCACGTTCTCAACGACTTAAAGAAGCGGCCCACAGAAAGCCACGCAGGGAAGGCCTGGCAGGCTATGAGCGAGAATTACGAAGCGCGCGCCATGCACCCCAAGCCCAGCGGGCAGGGTGCCTTCACCGTCTTTGCAAGGGTGGTTCTCCAGGCTTGGGAAGCGCGGGAGATATTCCTCCGGCAACGGGTTATGCCTGTGGAGACACCCCAGATTGTGTTGGATATTCGGAACAAAGTAGCGCAGACGGGTTCGGGTTCCTCCATGGTACCAAGCTGCAGGACTGGGGAACCGCCTCACAGCAGCATCGCGATCAGTACCAATTCCGAGGCGATACCCGCACAGATGAACTTCACCGGTGACTGTGCTGACGGACAAGCCTTCCCAGGCCCGGATCTAGGACCCAGCAGCTTCCCCGACGTCGCTGGACTGTCTGGCATGGACTTTGATATAGATCAATTCTGGACTGCAATGGACTGGAGGTTGATGCATACACAGGCCTGGTGATATACGCAGTCTCTAGGGTGGATGCTAGGTACTCCCAATCAGATGACTCTCCTCTCCTCAGCGCTTGCCCAATGATGTCCCAATTCTGCGTTGTCCTTGTTCCACTAAGCCAGTAATTGCCATGCTCATCTTTACCGATAATAGGGAACATCTCGGTGAACTTGTACGGTGTCTGGACATTCTGGATGTACTTCGCCCTCACCGGACCAGTACCCTCTAAGGGGGCAGCCGAAAAGTCCGATCCAAAGAAGTCAATCTCGGTCCAGTTTGAGAAGCTCAGCATGTTGTTAATGTCATCTAAAGCTTAGAGACGTGTCACGTCTTCATGTTTGCACGTTAAAGGCGCGGATTTATCACTCTCCATAAAGAGTTATATTGAAGTAAGACCCAATGTCATGACATCATCGCCCACAGGAAGGAGAGCCAGGGTTACAGCGACGCTAGTACACAGGCAAGAGCTGGACGCAGCCACTGGTCTTCGTACTCTTTCTTGTCGACCCTCCTTATTACCTAAGCATAACGTACTTTACCACCTGCCGCCCGATTTCCCAACACCAACACCACGTTGAAAATGAGGCTTTAGAGCCACATACAATTAGAACTATACAGAGATCTTTTGAAGTAATATAATTGAACTCCTGATATGCCTATATAACAGTTTTTTTTAGTCCTGAAACCGCTGTGGTAGGCGGATCTGCCTTCCTTGATGATTTATAATAGAAGGGGCCTTATCAATAACTTCAGACACTGGGATAGTAATAACTTCTTGATTCTTTAATTTTAAGATTGCTGGTGACTTCTTCTTGTCTATTCTGGCTATTTTAAAGTTATTTTAAAGCTATATAGATATTTTCTTAGCCAGATACTCTTTCTTCTTTTAGTGCTTCTTTTTCTCTGCCTCCAGGAGATAAGCTTCTTATACAGAGACTCTTATATCTTTCTATTCTTGTAATTTTCTTTATTTCTTTTCTTTTATCTGTTAGCAGTATAGCTTTTCCTTCTCTTTTAAGATCTTAGCAAGCTATACTTATAGAGCCTTCTTCTAGTCAAGCTACTGAACCTGGTGGATCTTACTTAAAGAGTAAAAGATTGTACTATTACTCTTAGAGACCTATATTTTAAACTGTAAAGATCTATTCTGCTAGTACTACTTCTTCTTATTCTTAAATAACTTTTTAAGGCCTATATTCTCTATTTTAAGCAGGATATTCTTTATAGAGAGATAGTATATAGTCTAGCTTAGCTTCTTAATATTTTTATCTTTAATATCAGTAAAGATCTCTCTAATAAATCACTTAATCTTTCTCTAATCTTCTATATATAGAATAGATCTAGAAGAGTTACTAGAAGAGGACTGTTAGTCCTCTATCTTTTTAAACTAGATTAATATAATCTCAGGATTAAAGAGCTATAAGCTAACTGATCTCTATATACTTTCAATATTTTTTGTAGATAAGGCTTTTTTCTATACAAGCCAAAATAGCCTGAAAAAATCCTGCTTTATAATAGAGCTTAGGCCCTAATATTCTTGCAGATAAATCTCTAAACTGTTGCTATAAGTAATTATAAGTGGCCTAAAGATACTGATATCTAGTAGTTACAAGGAATAAGTAGAATAAGATAGATAAATAGCTATAAGAATTCTATTAGCTTTATAATAGTTTAAGAACTTTATAGTAATATAAGAACTGTAGCTATCTAAAATTAAAGTCTCTAATATCTTTCTGCTTTAGTCTTAGTCTCCTGGTCAAATACCTGCTTTAACTATATAAATCCAAGATTATTATTAGTCTAACTGGTCTCTAAGAAGATAAAGAAACATTAATATTCTATAGAATTAAAGTTCTATAGCCAGATATCTTAAAGTTTTCCAGATAATACTTAATATATTAAATCAGAAGATAAAGCAGTTTGATCTATATATATATAAGTAATTAATATAATCTATTTCTGATTATTATTCTGAATATATTAAGTATTATCTCTCTAGTTATATTAATATCTGGAAAAGATTCTCTTAGTCTTAGAAAATATATTAATAAGGAATTCTTTTTTATCTATATTATATATATCCTGCTGCTATATCTTATATTCTTTTATCTTCTGGTCTATATATTTAAAGTATAAAGAGTATTTGAATACAGAATTAGCTTATTTATATATAGAATTAATATCAGCTATATAGTGAGAGATAAGTTCTTTCTAATATCTCTTATAAAAGTAGCCTGGCCACTGCTTTCCAGGCTTAGTTCTAGTAATTTTCTTAGTAAAATTTCTTAGTATCTTATATATATAGTAAAGGCCTCTTGCTAATTACTTATTTATATAATCCAGAAGCTCTCTAGTCTGTTGGCTATTAAGCAATTGCTGTCTTTCATATTATTACTTTCTTAACTACTGAACTCCGCGGTGATGCCTTAAGAGAGTTATTCAGTCAATGCTAAATTAATTTACAATTTCAGTGTAGGTAAATGTTTCTTCTAGATTCAAGGAATCAATTGCTTCTATTGCTGCTTTCAGAGGATCCATATTGAATAAGTTATGGTGGTTTAAAAATCTACAATTGTTTAGTCGGTGAGGAGATATTTTGGGCGGCAGGCGGTATCGGGCGGCAGGTGGTAAAGTACGTTATGTTATCTCCCGCGTCTTCGATGGAACTTGCGGTGTTAGAGCTCAGCTTTACTACTTCAAGTTCGCGGGCAAGTTCCGGCGTCAGGTCCCTTGATAGGTCTCACCAAGGGTTGTGATAATTCATACGCAATCTCGTGAGAGCCATACCATGGTCCAGATAAATATTGGCACGGCCTGCCCATTGAACCCTTTCCTGAATTTTGATCGAACTGTATGAGCAGTAAGCGAAAACAGTATATAGATGAATGCGATTTGCCTAGCTCGCATTGACCAGTCCCACAGTAGCCGATGCCATCAGCTGACAAGCAATGATGGAATGGCTACTTACGTACTACCTTGCGTCTTGTCGACCCGATCATGATTTGAGTCAGTAAGTCACTAACCATTGTTGGCTCTTACTACTTCAAAGGCAGGTTTCTAGTTCTCAAGCACTGCATTAATTTTCTTTAGTTGCCACTCTCCTCGACTTAGACATGGTTAGTGACGTCTGGGGTGTAGAACCAATTATTTGCCTCTGTCCAATGCTGTAAATACATGTGTCCCGCACAAGTTGAAGTGTATGACTTGGGCTGAGAGTTATGTCATGACTTCGGACTGGCATTCAGACTTGACATGCAAATTCCTGCTGTTGGCAGGGCCCGGCTGTCTTATATTCTTCCAATGCCCAATACGGCGCCTATACTTCTTTATTTATCCCAGTTGATATCGCACACTAGAAAAGATGTGAAGAAGGGGAAAGGCAAAAAGAAAACAACGGATAAGCCAAGGAGTACTTTTAATCAGACAGCTTCACGCTACCTTCAAGGCGCTGATATCCCCGTTGCCGAGTTTGGCTCTGAGCCTATTCCCAGAGCCTCTCCCAGAACCAGTACCTGAAATAGGGGATGAGGCTGCTAAGGCATCTGCTGTCGAGCAAGATGACATTGCTGATGTTCCTGTTACTGGAGATAACGGAGCTACTGAGACAGTCTCTCAAAGAGCGGAAGAGGCCACTGGGGGGCTAACTACTCTCCATGAACCTGTCCTTCTCGAATACGCCCAGCCAAATACCAGATGAGTGGACGTGTGTTTCCCCCCATATACATAAGACTAGTGGGAACTAATCTAAGGAAAATTGAAGTCCGTACGAGGGTAAAGCAGTTACAGTCGTCATTGGCCCTAGCAGAAAATGTTACACCATCACACAGAATCTTGTTAGAAAAGCTACCACTTTGCCGTGCCAGGACGTGGACGGATCCCCGCTAGTAAGGCTCCCTGATGTGGACGAGGATATCGGCCATACGATTATCCATTACCTTTACACTAGGGAGTATCAGACTGTGAAGCTACCATCAACCTGCGAATTGCCGAGGCGAACGGTGGAGTAACCGACCCCTACAACGCGCGACCCCGCCATCTCAAAAACCCAAAAAATTATATTTTCCTACATTATTAACCACACGAAGAATATAAAATCTTAGGAAAATTATAATAGAAAAGTAATATTCTAAAGCAATCTTAAGGTACTAATTTTTTATAGCTTATAGACTATATTACTACTCTATTACAATGTATAAGATTAAGGTAATATATATATATACAAGTAGTAAGGGCGGCGCCTTGCGCGGCCTGAACACATTCAAACACAGATAAATGATTCCTGCTGGACAAATAGAAGAATCTGTTCGCCAGTTGTCACTATAACTTAAAAAAAAGTAGAAAATGAAATACAGGACCTTCTTCTCTATCTGTACAATATATAAAGTAGCCTTCTAGGCATTACCATAGAATATAAAATAGGTAATGTACTATATGGCCGGATCACCTAACTTCAGCCCCTGAAGGCTTTACCCATTAGTAGTTGACGAGAAGAGAAGTCAAGATAGTTGATATAGTCGTCCATAGAATTGAGTGTCTATCGGAATGGCATCCGGTCCTCAGTAGGCTACGTAAGTGTAGCTGAAACAGCCTCATTCTGCCCATCTTTCCCCTGCACGACATACAACAACAGCATATATACCTGATGATTGTCGTACTACCATGCAGCTGTGATAGACAAGGCTTCTGAACCCCACGCCATGTAGATACTATGAAGAAGACCAAGCACGTTGCAGTGCTGGCAGAAGGACTGTGTCACTATACGAGCATAGGTAGTGTAAAGGACTGCGCCTGAGATTAGCAATTCGATACGTAGGATCTTTCCACTAGGCAAAAAGATCCACTATGATCAACTCCGGTCAGAGTTGATTTCCCAGGCGCAGTATATATAGATAGTATCGCAACTTGCCATCGGGGCCTTAAGCCTAAGGCTTACCCGTGACAGGTAGCTTGGTGTTTGGTCGGCGACCAAACATTGTGTCTTTCTTGGCCAGTTGACATAATGGTTCAAACCAAGCCTACCGCTAGTTACACATCTATCATGCTAGCGGTGAGTACAGTGACCGCGGTGAGAATATTAATGATCACCAATTCGTCGTCCAAAAAGACCCCAAAATGTCCCAATAAGTGCTAGAACAGTGAAGCTTGGAACTGAAGCATTTTGTAGATCGTTTGGATAATTGTTCAACCAGTAGATCCAGAATCCGAATGCCAAAGATATTAGGAGGACATGATAAACAAAAAGGATTCCAAAAGAGAGTGCATAGTCAGCTTCCAGTCCGAACGCGACTTCCCCAGGTTGACTAAGTACTGTATCGAATGAGCCGCCCCTCTTCCTTGGGACACGCTGCCATAGATGGGAATTTGGCGGAAGCGAATGACACTTGTGTAGAAAGGACGGGAGGCCAACCCAAGGACACTCAACGTCACATGCTTTGAGTAAAATGGAAAAGAGATCTCGCTTGATCAGTGGATTTTTTGCTCTCGGAGGTCTAGGGCTGTACTCATAATGATTGGTATAACCATGCTCTTCCGGTAGAGTTTCACCGCTGCAGTAAACCTGGTCAGAATTGAGCATTTCAAACTAGTAAAGTTAGCAAAAACTAGATTTGTTGGAGGGGAGCAGTACTTGGACAAATTTGCAATAACGAAAACGGAAAGGAGAGAACCAGCGTTGGAAAAACCATCGGTGCTTGGCATATCTCCGCTTCAATTCTCTGAAAAAGTAAGAGTCGTTGATGTTATGAAATATTTCGATATTCTCGATCTCATCGAAGTCGTCCATATTTTTGATTCCGAAGACCACCCAATAAGGATATTCGTGCCGGGTGATGCAGGTACTACTTGACCCTCCACCGTGTACTTGAATATTAGGATTGCCAGGTACAGAAGAATTTGGTGAAGTTGTAACTGTTGAATTAGGCGCAATGACTGAGGATGAACTGAGAGGTACTGCGTTTCCTGGGGTATAGCGCTGATGTGCGACAGATGCCGAGGTTCCACCTGACGAATGTTTTTGGAGTTTCCAATTCAGTATGCCCAGAATATAATGCCATGGGCGGTGGAAAAACGAGGTTGTCCAATTTACTCGATGAGTCTCTGTCTCACAACAAAAACATTTCGATGGGTGGTCGCCAATTATTTCCAGAATATGCCGTATGGAATCGGCATCTTCTGGATATATTTCTCTATACAGCGTTTCTCCACAAAACTATGAATGGTCATGACCTGACTAACAGCATGATCGTAATTGAGACATTTACTCACAGTCCATTGAAGATGCAGTCTACCTCGTGATAATTTGGGTACTCGAGGAGTCAGAGGCCACCAATCCCACTCGAAGCCGGTGTAATCCTCAATTGACGCCTTAGCCATGTTCATAAGTGAGGAGTCGTCTGTATCTGAGATTTGAATTGAACATTTTGGAATGGACTCCAACACTTCCCTCAAGGACGCCGGTAGAACTAATAGCCTAAGTTCGAGAACTAGTGTTCGGAACGGTAAACCTCGACGCAAGAAACTGTCAGCATGGGTCAATTTAGGAAACTGTAACTCTTCAAGGCAGTCATCGTCGTCAGTGTCTTCATTGTCGCCTTCATCATTGGATTGCTCCGGATCTTCAAATTCAGTATTAAATGTGGTATCTGTAGTTGGCTGCCCGTATGCATTGCTTGCCCAGGCTTCAAGTGACTGTTTTTCGACCGGCTGAGAAATCAACCCATCTAACGGTTTTGTGCTGTTCTCTTTCTCCTCTTGAATAAGAGACAATATCCGCTCTGCTATGTTGATACGGTTCAATCGAGATTTGAATACCCTAACGATGTCCTTTTCAATAGGACTGTACGCTTCATTGCGCAGTTTCAGGACATAGAACTTGAGGATTCTGCGGTAATTCTCCCGGAAACGTTCCACACCTAATTTCTTGAGGGCTTCTTCATGCAATGGGCGCAATTCTTTCAGTTCTGCCAAGAACAATCCGAAGTGTCGGGCGGCTAAGATCTCTGGCTCGGTCCTTTTCGTCGCAGTCTGCGAGGCGATATCATCGTCATTTGATTCCACGGATATGCAGTCCTCATCTTCAATTGTATCCGAAGTCATTCGATCCAACGGAAGTGTTGGCTTTAATCCAAGCATAATTTCATCTTTCGTCTCCACCAGAGTCGTACCTCCAAAGCTAGACTCTGCCTGTCGAGATGACGATTCCTGGCCTTCAGACATAGAAGCTGCTTTGGCTGGAGAAGTTTGCAATTGAGAGTGGTCGGTTCTACTCACTCGCTTACGCACTTCTGATACATGTATCAGCATCTTCTTCGCCTCATCAACTCGTCCCTGGCACATAATTGCGGATGCCAGATTATCCATGCTGGTCAGAGTGCCAGGATGCTCTGGTCCCAGCACCTGTTTCTGGGCCTCTATTACCTGTATCTGTAGCTCCTCTGCTTCCTTCCATTGTCCTTGATCCTGGTATATTGATGCGAGATTGGTCATGCTGGTCAAAGTAAAGGGATGCTCTAGTCC